CTCAACCTTGAACCGCAGCAGCAGAGGCGGAAAAACATAAAAAACTCAGTTAACAAATTTTTGTGGCATAAAAACAAAAATAATGTTAGACGCTAAAGATAAGAGCAAAAGCTATTAAAATTAATTTAGCAACAATATTTAATTACGCTTTAATAATTGCAGCGATATCAATTGCAAAACAAGCCGCAGACACGAAAAGAACGGGCAAAGAAAATGCGATGAATACGAAAAAGATAACCAAAACACAATTTCCTTTTAAACATGACCACAAAAAGTCATTTAACACGCTTAATGAAAAATATAATTTAATTCAAAATTAAATTGAAAATATTGCCAAGTGTATTAAAAGACTGCGACAATAGCACAATAAACTCATAAAATATTACAAAACTTTATAACCTCGTTGCCTATTGGCAAGCGAAGAGTCAATTAAAGAGCGAGCCACGCAGAGTGAAAGAGAGCGAGAGAGAGAGAGAGGGAGAGAGAGGTACTCAATTTAAAGAGCGCAGCACAGTTGCATTTTACATTTGTTCATATTTTGTTTATGTTCAAATTTCGGCAATGAAGCATAAATGCATAAATGCAACCATGAGTCGACTTGTGAATACTCTATAATGTACACTCAATTTTAAAATAATTAATTTAATTCGCTGATAAATTAAGTAATTAATTTCGAGTCTAAATTATTTTAAAGTTCAAGCAATGAAGCTCACAAAGGCCACAAGTCGCACTTTAAATACTCCAACTTGGTTAAAACGTCTCATATTAGTTTTAGTTTATTTAGTTATTTAATTATTTTGGGAATTTAAGCTATAATATATAGCTGACAATTTTCATTGTATTTCCAATTGTGTACTACGATCAATTAATAATTTTTAGCACACTGTAGTGGGACCTTAAATAAAATGAATTAATGCATAATATGAATAAATTATCAATTAATTACCTAATTAATGATTAAATATTTAAAATTTTAATTATTATCAAAAAATATGTATATGTTATTTTTTTTATATTATTTTATATTTTATTGATTTGTTTTATAAAAACAAATTTTAATGAAATATAAATATTAAATAAAATATTATTTTTATGGACGTTTTATATATATGAATATTTAATAGTTTATTTATTTAATTTTAGTTTTAAGTATTTTAAAAATTCTTATTATTGTGATCAGTAATTGAACAAAATGTTTATATTTTGTATTATTTAAATAATAGATGTTAAATATTTATATATATATATACATAAATATATAATATGAATAATAAGAATTACCCAATTAATTGTTTTACTTTATTTTTTTAATTATTAAATCAATATATAGAATATTTAAAAAGATATTTTTTATAAAACACTAATTATTGTGATTATTAAATCAATAAATTATTTATATTTATATATATTTTATTTTAATATATTTGTAATACTTTGTTTTAAAATATTAATAATTATAAATATTAAGTTAAAAAGATTAACATTTAAAATTTTTATTGATATTTCAAATTTTATAATTTTTAAATGTTGTATTAATTTTCTTCAATTTAATTGCAGCTGCAACAAACTGCTTGACAAACTGACTGTAGCTACTGTAAGGGCATACGCTGACCCTAAAGAGTGCGTCAGTTGTGCAGAGGCGGGCTAGTTAACCAATTGCACAACCAACGACAACAACAACAACAGCAGCAACAACAACGACGAAAAAATACTTTGCGACATTTCTGTTTTCGGTGCTTTAACCAAAAATTACGCGTCCGTCTGCCTAAACGCAGCTATTTGTTGGGCTCCGCCGATCAATAAGACAGCCGACGGGCAGCGGGACGGACGGACGGATCGACGGAGGGAACGAACAGGTGAGCCGCGTTCAACACACCCAAAGTGGGTTAATTTGTAGTTGTTGTTGTTGTTGCTGCTGCTGTTATTGGCTCTCTGATAACAGCCGTGCAAACTTGAGCGGCGGCGCGGGGGGGCGGGCAATGGGACTGCGAGCCGAAACGTGGTCGCTTGCGCAGTCGCAGTCGCAGCCGCAGCCGCAGCCGCGTCAAGGTCGGCTATTGTAAAAGAAAGCGCCAGCGCTGGCCTTGAACACGAAAACAAATGTTAAAGCGTTGCCGATGAAGAAGATGGAGATGAATCTGAAGTAGAAGAAGAAGAAGAAGCAGCAGCAGCAGGCGCCACTCGAAAGGTAAAGTAAAGCAAAACTAAAGATGATGCTGTGAATGCAGAAAACTATGTTCGCCTCTCGACTCTCGAGTTCGAGTGTAGCTGCTCTCACTGTATTTCCATTCAAATTGATTGAATGAAAGGGTATATTAGTTTTCTGCTATTGTATGTGACAGGCAGAAGAAGTAGTTGGATTGAATGCAGAAAACTGCGTTCGACTCTCGAGTTCAAGTTTAGCTGCTCTCTCTATTTCCATTGAATTTTACTGTAATTAGGGTATTTTAGTTTTGCGCTAGTGTATGTGAAAGGCAGAAGAAAAAGTTAAGTTGAATGCAGGAATCTAAGTTTGCCATTCGAGCTTAGCTGCTCTCTCTTTATCCACATTGCAATTGATTAAAAAAAGGGTATATTAGTTTTGTGTTAATGATTAATTAAAAAAAGGGTATATAAGTTATGTGTTAATGTATGTAACAGGCAGAAGAAGAGAAAGAAGAAGTTGTCTGTCTGTGTAAAATCTCGGCAAATACTTACTAAAGCTACAAATAAGAAATTTAAGATATAAATGTTCGTATATATTATGGAGCACGAGCTTGTCTTTTATATAGCCTCCCATTTTAACAAACTGGATAAATATCGATATTGAAACAAGCTCAGAACTCGAAAACTATTAGATATTGATAGGTAGGTTCGCGTGTAATTTGCATAGCTTTAAAGTATTTAACTTTTTGTGAAGCTTCATGCTTCCCCTTTCCCTTTGAAAAATATTAATTTTTTAAATTACCACATTGTGTTTTGGTATCTGCGCACATTAAGCTGTCATATTTAAGATCTGCAAGTTTCATGCAGATCGCAATGTAAATACTCGAGTTATTTAAGACTGCATTTCACATAGTGCGGGGCAAAGGCAAGAAGCGCCTTCTACAGGGTATAACCCAGTCGAGCTGTTGCTTTTGGAGCACTCTTGCTGGTGCTGGTGAGGGTTTCGGCTTGTTTTGCATAGAAATAAATGTTTTGAGTGCGCGTATCGCAAGATTCGAGTGTCGTCGTCTCATAAACGTTATGCTTGGGTAAGATAATGGGCCAGCGAAATATTTTTCGAACCAATTCATTTGGCGAACTTGTGCAACAGCCAAATGCAAAAACCATAACAAGACGGACACAATACAGCCGCAAGCATCTCACAATATTTTGCAAAACAAGAGAAAAACCAAAGAAATAAAACCCGAATCTGAGACGCGCAGCGTTGTAAAAACAAAAAAAAAAAAAAAATACAACAAAATTGGGGTTAAATGGGAAACAAATGGGTTAATTTACATGCCCAAGCCCAAAAGCAAATTGGGGCAAAGTGCAACCAGAAACTGGAAATGATATTACAAGACACGTGGATTAAATCAAAAGGCAAATGGAAGCGCATTCCGAACAGCTGTTTGACTGCGCGTAAACCAGTTGAGAATTATTAGCACAGTTGTCGTCATTTACAATGATTGATCATTTGCAATTTAATGCAAAGTTTTCTATAGTCAACTGCTGTCAATTGTTACAACAGTTAATAAATGCAACGGAAAAGATTATTTACAAGTATAATTACAACATTTTGCGGTAACTAAAAGCGAAATGATTAAAATCTTTTATTTATTGGATTGCAAGAAGCCCAATTGCTCTCTCTTAACTTATCTATTTAACCTCTTAAAGCAAACAGACTTTGGAGCCAACTTAGTTGGGCTTAAGGTGATAAATACAAAGTTTATGAAATAGTTGTTTGGGCCGAAACGACAAAGCAAAGTACGCCTATTATATGTTTTTAGTCAAAAGCTTCCTTATATGTGTCTGACATTTGCTCCCCACCTTTTTGGGCCCGCCGCACGCTACATTAACTTTTAAGCCCACGAGTCTGGGAAAAGGTCGGCAATTCAGATGATGTCTTAAAATAGATTTAATTAGGCTCATTTTAATTTTAGCAAATGTCTTTGCATGCCAATAATAATTCGAATTGAAGGAAATCACGTGAATAGCGGCAGGGGAATATGGGCGGAAATTATCTGAGTGTACGCGTTGCGACAATTGTTCTAATGCCATGTTGATATTGTGAAGCATACAATTCAATTGATAATTCCAGCATTAAAATGATCCAAAACTTGGCTACAAAAGCAATTGACAGACAGTTCAGTTAGGGAACGTTAGCCTAGCAATGAGGCCTTATATAACAAATTAAATGCGCACTTAAGCCGCCAATCAAAGAGACACTCACCATAGAATAATAATTGCTATCAATGATTTGCATACCTGTAAAGAAGTAGATTGAAAATTGAAAATTATTAAACAAGTTAAATATATGTACATAAACTTAAGGGCATATTCTCTGAACTGATTATTAGAACTTGCCAGGGGCAAAAAAAAAAAGGTGACTTGAAATATTGAACAAATAAATTAAATAATAAATAAATAAAAATATATATGACAAGTTCGTAAAACATTTTTGCTGTGGCGCATTAATTAATTTTATTTTACGTTTTTTAATTTATATTCTTTTTATTTTATTTTCGTTCTACGATTTATCCTGTTTTTTACTTGAAGTAGTCACAAAAAAATTACATTTAAATTTCAACTCTTTTTTTTTCTACGTTCGCCGTTTTAAAAGCGTCGACAAAGCGTCGTTAAAGCGCCGCGAAAGCTGCGCGGCCGCAAGTCCAAATCGCAGAGCTGAGCTTGCGAGCGGGCCCGAGTTCGCTTTCTGCGCTCAGTCGACAAACGGAGCTTGGCCGCGACACTTGGTTTAAGCGGAAGCGTCAACGTTAACGGTACATATACAAATACACACACATACACACACACACACACACACACAGACAAACGCGCGAAGCCGCCAAACTTGGTAGTCAGTCGGCGAAAAGCGAGAAAAAGAAATAGAGCTGAAAGAAGAAAATTGCAACACGAACAACAGCAGGCGCGAGCTCAAGGAGAAGTTGGTTAGAAGAGCGCTCAAGCTGAATGGTACGCAGCGTTAAAGAAACAATTTCAAAAAGAAAATTACAGTTTTAATCAATCTTAAGAGCAGAAACTCGTGAAAAAAATATTAAAAAAAAAAAAAAAAATGGAATTACATTTTTATGCAAAAACAGCTCAAAAACATATATAAAAAAAATTATTACAACTTAAAAAAAATTAAGTTAAGTTGCAGTTTTTGATCGCAAAAGTTTCCGCATTTTAAATTAGTCAGCTGTTTTTTGTGGTTGCCTACATCAAAATATTTTCTTGAACACAAACAAAAATACAAGAAAAATTACAAAGCAAAACGAAAGACTTAAGACACAAACTTGCGCGTGTGCAGCAGCAAGTGAAGTGTGCGCCCGTGTGTATGCGTGTGTGTGTGTGCATATAATTTGAGTATGTGTGTGCGTTTTTGATTGACCAACAATATAAAGCAAAGCAATGTTAAAAACAAGAAGAAGCCAGCCCTGAGGCCAAGCGCAAAGAAGTTATTTGAAACTGTTTCGTTTCGTTTCGTTTCATTTCGGTTTGTTATGTGTTCATCTGCCAGCGAAAAGTGCAATAAAAATAAAATGATGTTAAAAACTTAATATTAAAACACACACACACACAGACAGACTGAACTTCACGAGGCGCCTTTGCTACTGGTTAACTGCCTTTCTGTTTGTTTTTCCATACAACAAATTTCGTAAAATTTTTTTTTTTTAAAAAGATGAACTTAAGCATGTATGGGAAATGGCATATTGTTGGCGGGGCCACCCCCCCCCCCCCCTCCCGCTCTCTCTGTCTCACCACCACAACGGGGAATTGGGCAATGCAAAATATTGCAACAGACAATGACTGCCTTATAAATATGTGTATATATATCTTTATGTGAGCTGCAGCTTCAGCTTGATTTGTCTGAAGAGTGTCCGGCATGCTGACTTAAGAGCGGCCGAATTGTATTAATTGCAGAGAAGTTTACATATAAGGCCGGGACCTACTTTGCAGTTAAGGAAAAATCTCAAAGCACAGACTAGAGTTCTCTTTAAATAGAAGTTCTCCTAATAAGGCCATGTCCTATATACAGTTAAGGCAATGTCTCAAAGCATAGACTAGAGTTTTTTCTTTTTTTTTCCCCTTTGACAGAAGTTCATCAAGTATAAGGCTTGGATCTATATACAGTAAAGGAAATATCTCAGGGCACATGCTTGAGTTTTCTTTTAATTATCACTTTGAGAGGAGTTACCCTTTCAGTTCGTATTCTTCATACAAGAGCATTGTTTTTCCCTTTGGGATAAGTTCACCAGGCTTGAATCTTTATGCACTTCAGAAAAAATCTCAAAGCACATTCTAGATTTTTCTTAGTTTATCCCCTCAACAGCCATGGCAAGTTTTCTTGCTTCATAACCCACTTTTATCGTCAGATGGTCATTTACCGCATACACAGACATTTTGCTTTATCATGCCTTTCTAGCCAAGTACTGAGGGCTTCGTTACATGTGCAAAGGTGCAAAAAAAAAAGTAACACAGAAAATAAACAAGTCAGAGAAATAAAACAAAACTGATGTAAAAAACAAAACCAAACAAAACGTTAAAGAAAATGCAAAGCGAATAGCACAAATTATAATCAAAGAAACGAAGAAAAATTAAAAACTCATGTGCTCAGCAAAGAGCTAAATATATTTGGCCAACGGACTTGGTAACACGCCGAAGATCATTCACTTTAAGGTTTTTCGCATAAGAAACATTTATTAATAAAAAACCGAAATCAAGAGAATTTAATGAAAAAGCAGTTTAGAAACTTTATAAAATAATATTATAACTAGTTCAAAGGCGGCAAATATTTTTTTGGAATATATAATGCTGGTTTTTGCGACCTTTTTATTTTTAAATATTTATTTAGCTGGCTTGAGGTCTTGAATACATTCTGGAATTTATTTTTCATTCATCTTCATACATATTTTGTTGTCTTTAATAAAGCTGGCCGCTCGACCAACAGGAACAAGTTATAAAAAATAAAAGTGACCAGCTTTTCAAGAACCTCTCAGTTATATCATCATCAGACTCTAGATTTTCTTTAGATGTCATATATGTATATATACAACTTTTTGTGCCTTGAATTCTAGACTAGATTGATTTCCCCTTATGCAAAGTTCAAATGAGAAAAAAATATATATAACATATTTTAAATAATAAACGAATGCAATATATATAATATATATCTTTAAATCTTAAACAATGCAATAAACTTAAAAAAAAAATCTACAACTTTTATTCCTTGAATTTCTGACCTAATTGATTTTCCTTTGTGAAAAGCCCAAATATGAAAAATTGATATTGAAACTATTAAATGGTACAAATATATTAACTAGCTTAAAAAATGTACAAGTATTTTTCAAATAAAGCCCACAGACGCTTTAAGAAAATATAAAAAAAATAAAATTTATAAACTATAAATTTATAAATAAACTTATAATTTATATTTTGGAGAGTTCAATTTAAGATCATTTGTCAAATGAACTTGATTTAGGAATAATGCCGAATGAGATATGAAGATCAATTTTTGATAGATATCATTTATAAAAATGTTAAAGATATAGTTTCGATTTTGTGCCTTAACTATTGTTGTTTGTTGTCTAATATAATTTAAAATAGCTTGTGGTATTTTAAGCCGAACGACAACAGCTGCAAATAGTATTCCTTTGTGCAAAGCGCACTTACAATTTTAATTTTCACAATTTTATAAAGTGTAAATGATGTAAACAGTACACACAACTAGCTAGAGACAGCTGTTGTTGTTGTTGTTGTTGTAGTTGTTGTTGGTGTTGCAGCTTGGCCGAAATGATTGTTGCTGGATTATATAAGAAGTGGCCATGCCACAAACCGAAACTGTAGCCAGAGCAAGAGCTGAAGCAAGAGAAAAAGCGAGAGAGAGAGAGAGAGGGATGTTGAAAGAGCGGAAGAGCGAGGGGGGGAGAGCGTGGCCAGCTGCTAGCAGCGCAACTGGTGACAAGCGAAAAGGAAGCAACTGCCGACGAATTCAGCGATCGACAACAGCTGCGGCTGCAACATGTTGCACGTACTAAATACCCACTAACATTGCAGCAAGCGCTGTGATTTTCGGCTGTGGCAGCTTTAATAAGCCGTTTTAGCTGCATTTAACAGGCTGTCCGAGGGTGGGCGTGGTCGTCGCCACAACCAAGTTCTTTCCGCTGCGAAAGCAAAAGCAGCTTGTTGTGATTTTTATTTGATTTTTTTTTCTGTTTTTTTTCTTTAACGGGGGCGCAGCTCAGGGCCCCATTTTGGCGCGGTGCAAGCATTGCAAAAGATTTGCAAATTTGCAAATTAAATTCGTTGCATATGAGCAGCAAAATGCACACACACACACACACACACACACACACACACACACACATCGATATGGCTTGGCGCATATTGCAAACAATTTTTGGAACAGCAATTGGCATTTCTGGCGTTAACGTTAACGTCGACTTTGACGCCGACTGCTGCGCTTGCTCTAACCAGTTGGCAACCTTGGCGTTGTTTTGTTTTCGGCGCTGTGCTTTGCGTTTATTATTATTTTTTTTTTTTTTTTGGTATTTATTTTGGGTTTTTTTTTTTAATTTTTATTTTAAACTTGCACTGGGTATGCGCATTTTGACTAGCAGTTAGTTACATCAAGAGTTCAGTTGGGTTTTGTGTCGGTTTGTGTCAAAGTTTTGTTAATCAAATAAAACTTCTGTTTTACATCTGAAATGGGGATACATTTATAAACTGCTTATATAATATATAATAAATAAATTAAACTCCATGCTTAGGTAGTTGATCAATTTTAATGTTTATTAACAAATTTATTTGCATTTATTATAGAAGGGCACTCAGTCACGACTTAATCCAGTTTTTATACCCTTTGAACCCTCTGCCGAGACTATCTAGTCATATTCCTCAGTTCTTCCGTCTACTTTGATCCCGAAAACTACAAACGCTAAAGACTTGACATTTGGAATATATATATTTCTCTATACCAAACGCAGATAAGCCTAAAATGTTTCTTCGATAACTCGTATTCATTTTCATAATATAGATAAATATCAATTTTAAGACTTGGTTTTTTGAGCATATCTCGAAAACTTTAAGAGTTATATGCACCAAATTTGGTAAGCAGGTTTTTGTTAAGTATATAAAGTTAAAGAATATTTCACTTACTGAATACCTCCCCCACAATTGTTATAATCACATTTTCAAAGCTAGAGCCTTCCGCTTTGGTATGCACACACTTTTTAGCGACATATTCAAGCACTGAAAATTTCAAAGAGATCGAACTACAGACACCGAAGTTAAACAAGTACGCTTTGCTCATAAAGAAGGCCCAAAGCGCAGCTGCCGCTTGCAGCTCGCTAAAATGTTTGTAATGACAGCTTATCGCTTGATTCAGGGTATTCCCTAGTCGAACACTTCCGCCTAGAGCACCCTTACTTGATTTTTTTAAGCCGCATCAAAATTACACAAAATGTGGTTTTATTTGTGACGCATTTGCGTCGTATTTAATGTGGGAATCTTTATAATGGCAATTTCACAAAATGCGCCACAATTTTCGCGCCTCTCTTTTGGGCTCGATAAATAAAGAAAAGAAAAGAAAAGAAAACATCATATCAACCGAAAAATTGTTGTCCTTTGCGTCATCTGTGACAATGTTAAGCAAACAACAAAACAACTGCAAATATTCAAAGTTAACAACAGATACGTAAATTTATGACCACGAATTTGTGTTACTAACCTTACTCAATTTTTTTTTTCGAGCAAGCTTTTATCTTATTTTTATTTATTTTTTTTTGGTTTTTAATGTTTTTCGAGTTTGACTTTCGAACGTTTTATGGTCATTTTGTGTGTGCGTGTGTGTGTGTTGTTGTTGTTTTTGCCATTATAACTGTTGCTGCTGTTGTTGCCAGTCGTCTAGTTAGCCGGCTCATTTGATTATGTATCTAAGAGATGCAGAGATATCAAAGAGAGCTGTTTGTCTGTGGCATATGGCCAATGACGGATATCAACCGAACATGAGCTGGCACTCTAAGTGGGTCAAAGTCTGACAGCGAGGCCATTAATTTTTGAACAGGAGTTGCCGCCAGTCTAAAACTTAGCGAACTAATTAAATTAATTACCCTGTTAAGTGCGTATAAATAATTAGAGTTACATTTTACAAAGACTTTAAAAAAATGTTTGATTGGGTCAAATATAATGGGTTTAGATAAATTAAATATAAATATAGTAAAGTGCTCATAAATAATTTGTGCAGCTAAAAGAAGTTAATAAAAGTATTTAGAAACATTCACAGGCATTCACATAATTCATATCATTTTTTTTTAAATAAAAATAATAATAATTAAAAAAAAAATGTTATGTGAGATTCAGACATTAGAGTAAAAGCGAGATGTGGCTCAACAGACGTAGCTTAACAGAGACTTAACATAATGTTAAATTGTCTCATTTCCAGCACATAACATATAACTACTGGATGTGAGGGATTGTACGCTTAAAATGTATTGTACACTTTTCCAAGCGTAAACCTTTTCTATTATTCCAATTTCTATAACATATAAATATTTTGAGAATCTGCTGGGTTAAGTACTTTACGTCAAGAACGAAGAGGAATATTTTCTCCCTAGAACCTATTAATCGTACTCTCCGTACTCCAATATATTACAAGCTGTTATCTCTCACGATTATAGGCAAGTTGTTTGGAGTATAGATTAAATATTTAAAGCACATAAATGAAAATGTGAGTCACAGAAAAAATTATGAAATTTAAAGAAGCTTTTGCGTTGAGAAAATCTAACGAAAGTCAATATAAGAAGACGTCTCTAGAATATTATTATTTTTGGCTATCAATCAAATAAGCCAGTTAAAATGAGCCCGCATGTCCGCGCCTACCTTTTCTTCAATAACAATTTCTAAGCACTTCTCGTTTACCTGTGCATTTCACAGTCCATTTCACAAAACTTGATTTGCTTATTCTGACTGCATTTTCTTGACGTTGATATATCTAAAGATATGTGGGAAGGTATACGTATAGATATATATGGATATATATATATATAGATACATAAGAATTGTATGAGTATTGTATGAGTGTGTATATTTGGGTATTCGTTTTCATGATTGTTATTCAAGACACTTTGTGTCTTTCCATGTGCGCACCGTCATTTAATTTTTCCGTGTTGTCATTGTCCGAGTGCCCCACGTTCTGAGCACCTTTTGCAATTTGCATTTACGGACATGCATAAATAATGTAAGTTAAGTGAATTTCACTTGTACAGCTCGCACATTGTTTATACGTACTATCTGTAACTGTTGTCAATATTTGCTGAATCTGTTCGAGTTCCAGTTCGAGTTTCGTGTTTTTTTTAAGTTTTGTTTTCCCGGCAAAACCTCAATGACCCGCGGCGAGCTAAAAGCTTGAAGGTTCTTCTCAGAAACCTCATTACGTTCGCTTATTTGCGAATTTATACAGCCAATTCTTATTGGTAAACATGCATATATTACAAATATATAACCTTCAAGCGAGCTAATGAGGTTAGCAGTTAGCTAAAGAATATGAAGACGAAGCTTGAAGCTAACTCTAGTACATTATATACATCTATGCAGTTCTTCGCGCAGCTCAGAAGATGACAATTTATTTTAATAATAATTATATTTTAGTTAAAAATGTAATTCTACGAATGTTACGCAGTTGTAAAAACAAATAATTGTTTTAGACTATTGCAAATTCAATTCTCTATAAACTTAGAGGGTTTTCGAAAACTAATACAACTTTGTCAAGAAGCATTTGTGATTATAGAAGACAAATAATGTATTTTTTCTAATAAAATCTTTTAATAATCTTAAACCATTTCTCAAGAAGAGCTTTTGATTCTAGACGACTCAGTTTTCCATTAATATAATTTTGTCTCATTTTTATCCCATTCATTCTAGATATAAAACTTTAATTTCTTTTCTTAAAATAATGCTATTAAAATTAATCATTTGATATCCTTTTAATATTTTCTAAACCTTGATGATTTATTTTACAATATTTTCTATATATATTTTCAATTAAAATCTCTATAATGCCATTTTTTAAGAATATTTGATTCAAACTTAAAGTTTAATAGAATGTTGTCTAATTCTTACTTTAACTAGAGTAATAATTGATCAGAAACCTCCCTAGAAATTATTCATTTAAAAATAATTAATTTTATTTATATTGTTTACGTCTTTTAACAAATCTGAGTTTCAAGAACTTCACAAATAGTTTGGAAAAAAATGTATACCAGAAAAGAGCTTCAAGCTGTTTTAATTTTTAAATTATTCAATTGTATTTAAATAGAACGATTCTTTTGAAGGAAACAGGTTTTTCCAAAAGTCAACAAAATTGAAGAAAATATTTAAATTTCTTGGAAATATAAGACCTTCAAATACAAGATGTCGAAAACGTTGTAAAGTGACAGTCTAAATATTGACTAGTTTATATATCTGAGTTAACAATTTTAAACGTAGACATGGAATCATTATTGATTAACTAATTTTCATGAGCAGCGCATTGTAATGCTCAGCTAAGTGTGGCTTAAATTACAAATTGTGTCTCTAACCAACTAAATCCAATGACATTTTCAAAACAGTTGCGAGGTTCATTAACGTAAGGCAAAAACACGCGATTCATGTTGCCCTTTCTGGTGTCTGTCGTCAGCTGTCAAAACTCAAGTGTAATAATTGCCAGAGAGAAGCTATGCATTTCTATAATTTTTATTATATGAAGCAAAGGTTAATGAAGCGCCACACACTTAAGAATATGACAAAGTTCAGAACGCTTTAGTTGTGGAACTCACTCAGAAAAATTCAAATATATTTTAAAGGGCAATTTAAACATGACAAATGCAAAAGTTGCTGTTAAAGTGAATGTCAAGTGCGTGAAGTGAGAGAGATAAATTTTAATATATATGCAACTTTATGAGTGAAATGAGCTTCAAATTATGCACAGAGTAAAGATTTGAGGGTAATGTCAAACAGGGTTGGGCAAGGATGTTGAAAAACGAAATTTTTCGATATTATATTTGAGTCCCGAAATATAGTAAAAATATTAAGGATTTTTTTGGTATTTCTTGTGTGAATGCAACGCTTAGTTATATATTTTGCATTAACTTCAATTTAAGTTAATTAAACATGGCTACACTGAGAGAAATTAAATTTAAAATAGACTTGCAACGGTTAGATTGAATTTAGAAAACTTCGGATCGAATTTACCTTGCCTCGCCCAACTCCGACAAAGAGTTCATCGAACTTGCGGGCAGATTGAACGCAACAATTCGGCTGGTTAAATTTTCACTTTCGGGCATTCTTTGTATGTGAAAAGTAAAGCTGGCTACTAACAGCGACTGCTTAGAATTTAGCGCCAAGTTAAGGCTGCGATTTTTTGGTCAGCCGGAGCGCTTTGTGTGCCTTGGCACGTGTCTGTCATAAAGCAGCGCCAATCAATAAAACACATAGCCATATAATGATTTATTGACGCAAGTGATAATCCGATTTACTCGTATTCTTTTCGATCCAAACAGCACACAGAGCCACCTCAGAGCGAGTGAGAGAGAGAGAGAGAGAGAGAGAGAGAGAGAGAGGAGAGCAAACAGACAACAGCAAGATGGCGGCCGTTGAAGTGCGCAATGGCTATAAGTACTATGGCTCCAAATCGAATCCCAAGATTGTGCTCAACCAGCTGAACATGAACGTCATGCGCGGCTCCATGTGAGTGGCATTCATAATGAACTCCGATCGACAAACATTTGCTCAATGAATAACTATTCTTCCCTTTTTTTCGCCGCCCTCGCTTGCGCCCTTTAGCTATGGCCTGCTGGGCGCCTCCGGCTGCGGCAAGACTACGCTGCTCTCCTGCATTGTGGGCCAGCGTCGGCTCAACGGCGGCGAAGTGTCCGTCTTGGGCGTTAAGCCCGGCGAACCGGGCAGCGGTGTGCCGGGTTCACGCGTAGGATTTATGCCACAGGAAATCGCTCTGGTGGAGGAGATGAGCGTCAAGGAGACGATCTTCTACTTCGGACGCATCTACGGGCTCACAGACGAGCGCATAAGGGAGAAGTTTAAGCTGCTCAAGGAGCTGCTGCAGCTGCCGCCGGCACGGCAGATGATCAAAGAATGCAGCGGTGGCCAACAGCGACGCTTGTCCTTCGCCTGCGCCATGATACACGATCCCGAGCTGCTCATTCTCGACGAGCCCACGGTCGGTCTCGATCCCATGCTGCGCGAAAAGTACGTATCCATAAAACATATCACATTCTATTCTTTACTATCGAGTACGAATTCTACTTTCACAGAATCTGGGAATTTCTGGTGGAAACGACCAGAAATAGTAAATTGGCTGTGATCATCACCACACATTACATCGAGGAGGCCAAACAGGCCAATTGCGTGAGTTTTATTTACAAATTCAATGCTAGCACTAGATAAATACGAGAGAGTAGGAATGTTGTCGAAGATTTAATACCCTTGCAGACATTTGCCTTACGGGTTTGCAGATATGTGGGAATAGTGAAGATTATAAATGCTAAGTTTGATGAAAATATCTTAGAAAACAGAATATTTTAACCGATTCTTTCTATTTTGCAATTTTATATAGTAGTGCGATCTTCATAAGATTTGGCCTATATACAAGCAGCATTGTTTGATTAGTTTATGATGAGTTTATCTTGATCAACAAAAAAGTTTTCCATACAAGAACCTACTTTTCGACTGATCGTTCCTATGGCAACTATATGATATAGTGGTTCGATCTGGCAATGTTTCAAGACGATATATATTTAAAACTGAGAGACTAGTTGGCATAGAAACAGACAAACGGACATGGCTATATCGACTCGGCTGTTGATACTGATCAGGAATATATGTATATACTTTATGGGGTCGGAGATGTCTTCTTCTATGCGTTAAACATTTTATGATATATATTGTATATATATATTTCTGATAAAGACGATGTACTGAGTCCATTGAACCAAGTCTGTTTCTACGAACGCATCGAACTCGAGAAGTTTAAGAGCTGGACTTGAAATTTGATATATATAAATTGTTTCGATATCTCTTACTATTTGCATGATATCGATAATTATCGATTTTGACACATGGTATTAATACATAAAGCGATACAGACAGCTTTGTTCTATTGTGTTTTGACTATTTTTAATATTACGTATCAGCTGCTCAGACCACCCGACCTATTCCCAGTTTCTTAAATTTAAAATATTTTATCAATTTCTTAGATCGGCCTCATGCGCAATGGCGTGCTGCTGGCCGAAGACACGCCCACAAACATTATGATCCAATTTGGCACACAATCCATTGAGGATGCGTTTCTCATACTCAGTCAGCGTCAGGGCAATGAGGATCAGCTGGCGCAGATCATTGATCATAACAGAAACCAGGCGTTGCCCGTCGCGGCGCTGCCAACTGAGGTGATCGATGTCCATGACACGCCCACAGCCGAGAAGCCGCCCATACCGTACGAGGAGACACCTAACGAGAATCGCAAAAAGATATTCTTTACGACCAAAGGACGTCTCAAAGCGCTGATGACCAAGAACTTTGTGCAACTCTTCAGGCAGCCCTCGTAAGTGCCAGTTGATTTTAGAACAAAAGTTGGCAGCATCTTTTTAACCGAATTCTTCATCTGTCGCTTAGTGGCATCATTTTCATGCTGATGTTTCCCATCATACAATTGTCCTGCTTCTATCTGGCCATCGGCAAAACGCCCACAAATCTCGAGCTTGGCGTCTATTCCGGCGAGGTGGAGAGCTATTCCGAATGCTTTGATGACAATCTGAAGACCATTTACAAGGCCAACGATAGCTGCCATTTCCACAAGCTCTCCTGTCGCTACATACGCGAACTGGGCGACGATGTGGCCACCAGAAAGTATTATTCGACCGAAGCGGCTGCTTTGGCGGATGCCAAACGCGCCCTCACCGTCGGCTACATATATTTCGCGCACAATTTCAGCGATTCGGTTTACGAACTCATCGAGGATGGGGTTCATGCCAGCGACGGGGCCGTTGACCATGCCGAGCTGACCGTGCACATCGATATGACGGGTGAGTAGTCGGCGTGATTATGGCTAAATAGAGCTCCTGGGGTTATAATTATTCAAATTTCGCCTCTACAGATCAACAGGTGGCGTACTTTATGCAACGCAAGCTGCGCGACAAGTTTAGCACCTTTATGAACAGCGTTGTTCAGGACTGCAATGTCTCGGCCGCCCTGGTCAAATTGCCCGTGCAGTTCCAGGATCCCATCTACGGCAGTGCGGACATTGAGTTTCAGCAGTATTGTGCGCCCGGCGTGGTCATGACGTGAGTATATGATTACGGCTAAAAGCCGAAGTATTTCGTCGCCAGATTTTCCATGTATCCTAAAGGGTTCACAACCGAAACCAGCAACTATTTCTGCATCAAAATTGATTTCATTTAAAATGCAAAATTGAGCTCAAAAAAATGCAATTATTTGCCATTTTTAAATAGAGATCGAATTGTATATAAAACTATATGAGTAACCAAATTGTGAACTAAGAGAAAAGAAAAACTAAGAAGGAGAAAGCGCATATTCAAAAACCACACCGCCAGGCAGGGTGCTGGTTCAAGCCATCAATATAAAAGCATTTGAAAGCACTTATCATATAATGATTAATCGATATATAATACATTCGATAACACTAGAAATCGATCGATAGTATCGATATGTATAAAAGGACTTGCACAATATTGTCGTTAACTTTCTAAATTATAAACTCTAAAACTCTTAGTAACCTTAACCTTGTTCAATATTCATATAATGATTATGAGTAGCCTAGCAGTACACGAAGTTGTGCATCATATATCGATTAATCGTTATATAAAACTGTCGATAGCATTTGATATTTATCGATTATGATTCTATCTAAAAACCTTCCCTTTCTTTAAATCTATTTATTAACTACAATAATTCTGAAGCTGCCAATTCAAACCTTTCGATAAACATGACTGATCGATAGTTATCGATTAATATGAAATTGCATTTGCATAGCTATCATATACAATTTATCTTTGCCTATAACTACCTCCTTAAACTTTCCCACTCTCTTCCTAAGCATGGTATTCTTTCTGGCTACTTTGATGACGGCTGCTGTATTTATTTCGGAGCGCATGGATGGCATTTGGGACAGGACCCTGCTGGCTGGAGTTTCGGCAACCGAAATGCTTTGGGCCCATCTGCTCACCCAGCTGATAATCATGGCACTGCAATCCTTTGAGGTCGTCATGTACATTGGCATCGTATTCGATACGTATAACAATGGAGATACGACCACATTGATTGGACTGCTGACGCTGACAGCTTTCTGTGGCATGTTGTTCGGTAACTAATTGCATATAGATAGCTATATTTTTGCAGAGTTTGAACTGATTTCTGTTTTATGCAGGTCTCTTCATCTCTGTGTTCTGCAAGTCTCACACGGAGGCCAACTTTGTGGCCACTGGAGCCTTCTACCCGATGATCATACTCTGCGGTAGGTTTTCGCATAACTCAAGTAATTCCTTTTAGGATTTTTAATGCATCCTTTTTAGGTCTGCTGTGGCCGTTGGAGAGCATGCCGCGCTTTCTGCAGGATCTGGTAATGGTGCTGCCCTTTACCATACCCTCGATATCGGCGCGCAATGTCATCGAGAAGGGCTGGAGCATTACCAACGCGAAGGTCTACAATGGTTTTCTCGTGATGGCCGGCTGGACGATCATTTTCTTTGTACTGTGCCTGATAGGCATCAGGCGCAAGGCGTAGTGGGGCTGTATTCAATATTTGGGGTTACCAACTAGAAGTCGTAGCGTATTACAATTTCCCTTTAGGCGATTTTATATATGTATATTGTGTTATAGTATCTATATAATTTAATAATTATCGGAAGCATATCACTCGCATGTCGCAGACTCTCTTTCATCATCAAAATAAAAACTCATTCGATGCATTGTTAGCCAGACTACGTTCGGGTTGCCTAGGGATATCAATAGAGTTGTTGTACTAATAAATGAATGACGTTTTCTTTTTTAATGTATGTACTTAATTCGGCAACCCAATGTTAGATTGGTTTAAAACATCTAAGGTCTAAGGGGTGTCTCACAAAAATATTTATAGTACATAGCACACAACATTTGCATTCATGAACGAAACGTTTGAACATGTACTAAATTTAGTACATTTAGTACATTCTTATTATAATAACAACCTATGTAAATAGCCCAAAATCAGAAAGGGATAGCACATATTTTCATTATAAACAAAAATATGCGTAAGAATTTAGCACGCGTTACACTATACGAACTGTTCTAAAGTGTTGTTCTAAAATGCTAATTCTTTAAAACGAAATTTTACAACTACCAAAAAGACACAAAAACTCAACAAATAAATATTTTAATGGAATATCGAACTAAAAACAACGATTTTTTATGAAATTCTTACTTGAAGTGGAATTTTTACTCAAAGCTTTTTTTAGTACTGTACTAAAACAGTTTAGAGAAGCGCTCGATGCATTTGAAATAATATAGTTAATAATTTAAAAAGGTAACTTAGCTAATGCACCCAATGAAGTACATTTAATTAAATACATTTACATTTGCTCCTGTACTAAATGTGTACTAAAGCGTACTAAATTCGCAAAACCCTTTTAAAGCGCCCCGTCTGCTGATAATTGCTCAAGTGCTGGAAAATTTAAATGACTGTCAACAAGTTTTTCAATGCCCGCCTTTATATAAAATGCAAACCAGCGCAAAACTAAAGCGAAAGTTCCGCCCACCCCGAACCACCTAATGTATAAAAATATCAGAAAGTGTGTCCGCCCTGAGCTGGGGGCCAAGGACAAGGACACGTTCACGACGATGACGATGAAGAGGAAGTCGAGGACGTGGCAAAGTTGCTGACACACTTCGGGCTTGGAAACTGCTAGACAAAATGTCTGCCCGGTTGGCTTGGCTTGGCTGGGTGGTAGACCCTGCCCCAACAACCTTCACCCCCCCCCCCCCCTCCCAACGCCCTACCACCCGCCATGCTGCTGGCTGCCAGTGTCTGCCGGTGTCTACGAGCAGAAATTTTTATTACAAAACTTTATCTTTGCCAAATACGAAAACGTCGACGACGACGATGACGAGGAGGAAAAATACAAAAAGGCCAACGCTCGGGCAGAGCTGTGGGCGTTGGATCCGGGCTGTTGTGGGCGGACCAGGCCAAAGTGTCGCTTGCCATTTATATAAGTTGCATAAAATGTGCAGAGAAAAAATAAAATAAAATGGAAAGTTTTCCCACTGCATTTGCTCCGGACTTGTTGCTCACAACAGCTGCAGATTGTTAGTGTGGACAGAAAAAATGGGAGGAAGACTTAAGCAGGGATTAAAGCAGATTTAAGCACATATCGGGAATAACAAAAGATATCAAATCCAAAATTTACTTTAAATTGAAGGAGTAAGGTGAATGAGTAAAGTCGACTAAGTGGAGCAGGCAACTAAATGACGAAAATCGGGGTTCGCAGCCTCAGGCTCGTTAATAGCTATAAACTATACTTAAAATAATAATGGAATAAATATTGTTTGTTAATTTAATGTGTAGTGACTTTTCTTGTTGAGGATATTATAATATTGTCATGAAATGTGTAACGCATAGAAGGAGAAATCTTAGAAGTCATAAAATATATATATATTCCTGATCAGCATCAACATCATCTATCTGTCCGTCTGTCTGTTTCTATGCGAACTAGTCTCTCAGTCTTAAAGCGATCGTCTTGAAACTTTGCATAGGTCCGTCTTTCTGTTGCAGGTGGATCGGGCCACTATATAACATAGTTGCCATAGCAAAACTCGGTCGAAAAGTAAATATTGTGTGGAATATTGTTTTGTTTTCCGAGATATTTTCTTTTAACTAAACTCTTACGATCTTCACTATTCTCACATATCTGCAACAGGCAAATGTCTAAAAGGGTATTAAATCTTCGGCATGCCGAAAAAATCCTTACTTTCTCGTTTTTAACTATTTTTTCTTGCTTGTAGATGAAAATTATCATTTGTTACAGATTAGAGTTATTTATATTCTTACGAATTCATCTTGTTAATAATTTATTATTTCATAAAAATGGAATTCGGCAACACTCAAAACTACCTTGTTGAACTTTAGCTAGAAGTACTTTATGGTATACCCTAGATTTGCTGCAACAATATTTAGTCATTTCATTTTAAGTGTATTAAAATATTTAAATATGCATGGACACAAGTTCATAAATCGTTAATCTTGATAAAGTCAAGACAAGAGAACCTCAAAGGCAACACATAATATTTATGTTTAGGTTCAAAATCTCTATCAATCAGGCGGAGACACAGAAGTACACGCACATTCACACGCTCGAGTGAGAGGCGCATAAATATTGCGCATACGTCTTGTGGGCACGTGGCCTAAACGTCAACATCCTTTGTTATCATGTGTGAAATTTAATTCAAGCAAACAACAAAAACATCAGCAAGTGCCAGGAACAAATAAATTTGCGCAAAACTTGTCAGTAGGTCAAGTCGCCCGAGTGTAGGCAACACAACAAAGTTTGCAAACTCAACAATTTTGTGCCACACCGTCGTCTGGTGTCCTTCACACAGCAGCTGGCAAGCCCAGCCCCAGCCTCAGCCCCGCCCCCCGACTGTGTACTCCTCTGAATGTGCAAAGCAAAAGTTTTGGTTACAACTTTTGCTCCGTTTAATATACACATTTAGTGTATAAAATGTTGTCCTGGGATCTGCTGGCAACACTTTTGTGGGTGATTTCGTAATTTGACCTTAAAAAAAAAAAAAAAAAAAAAAAAAACAGACACACACACACACTCAAAAATATATATGTATCCCAGAGCATGTCTAATATTTATACGTAAATTTAATGAAGGTGAAACTGTTTTGTTTACGTTTCGTTTTTACAGCTGTATGAGAGTGTGTTCGTCTCTGTATGTGTGTGTGTGTGTGAGTGTGTGTGCCTCTTGGCAGCCTTTTATGTTTGCCCTGTCTGGCTGGCTATTTGGGGAGGCAGCTTTAACAAAATTCTTGCTTCAATTTCATTGACTAAAGCTGCAGCCCAGTCAAAAGACTGTCAGAAAGTTGTGTAAACTTTGAACAATAGAAACAAAGCCCCAAACCTATTCGCACTTGTGGCTTCAAATAGAACTCTCTCTGTGTGTGTGTGTGTGTGTGTGTAAGAGCTGTAAATGAGCAGAGGTTTATAGACCTAACTAGTTTACAAATCAGTTTTAGCGCAAAGTATGCAAATTTGTATAGCATACTTTAAGGAGCATAAATTTGATTTTAAACCTGTTTTAATTCTTATTATAAAATTAAGCTTTAATAATTAACACGGTTTTTGTAGCTTGTATAGCTTAGTTTTCCGAGCGTCGAACTAGCAAGCGAGCGGTCGCTGGTCCGAATATATCAACAATTTTCAATGCTTAAATTTGTTTAGGGGGAATGCCTAGGCGAAAAATAAACAAGCAAATTTTTTTTTTTAACCGAACGACGCCGAGTAAATTGTTCCAGCTTTATATATGATTCAATCTATCAGCGATGTTTTAAAATATAAGTCAAAATGGTTCACAAACGATTCCTTCTAAACTATCCACATAGTATATCAACTGCCCATAATTGTCAGATATGCTTACACATATATAGATGGAATGAATGCCTGGGAAAGAAAAAACCAAGCATATGAATTGAAAAGTTACCACAAAAACTAGGAACTAGCAACTCGAGATTGACCAATGGGCAAATATATTTTGGCAACTAAATCAGAGCCAATAAACGAGATCTGGCGAAACAAGAAATGCCACAATAAATATGAACAAAACTGGGTCCTGCCAGTGAAAAAACATTCCTTTTTGGAATTGATTTGAAAGGCGCTCGACCAAAACTAAAAACAGCCAAGCAATCAATGAAGGACGAGCACGAGGACGAGGATACGGACAATGGCATGGACATGGATGTGGACGTGAACGAGGACCGTGGACATGGTTGAGAAGCTGGCATAGTCTTTGCATTTCATTGACCCTTTAAATGGCAAAGATGGACACACAAACACCTACACCTACACACACACACACCCACACACATAGTCTGTCATTTTGTATGTATGTAGCGAGCAGCTGGCAGTCACGTCAGTTGAGCAAAAGTGGTGAAAAATTTGATTTTCGGAGTTTATTCAATTTGCTGCATGTGTGTGTGAGTGTGTGTGTGTGTGTGTGTGTGTGTGTTTGTGTGTGTTGCTTGTTGCCTGCAGCGGGTAGCCAAGCATTTAAGTGCATGCTGAGAGCGAGAGAGAGAGAGAGAGAAGGAGCATGTGGAAGAGAGAAGAAGCAAGTGCTTTGGCAGTATAACACAATCAACATTCGACTTGGATTCGATACGCATTCAATGGGTTTGCATTCGCTTTTGAGGTAAAGCCGAAGCAGCAGCAGCAGCAGCAGCTAACATAGAACAGCTACCGTTGCGTAGGCTCACACACACACACATAGGCAGAGGCACAAGCACACACATTTACGCACAGAGATAGTCACTCACACAGCTGCATTCGTTTTTCTCCTCATATGCAACGCCATTTTATGTATAGGCTCGTCATTCGCTTGCTCGCTCGCACTCGCTCTAGTTTTTGCATTTCGCTCTCGCTCTCTACATGCCTATGTACAGAGCACAACATGGCGGGGCAGGGTCGGGGTGTAGTGGGCAGCGCGTGGGGAATGGCTGACAGGGTCGACTGAACACACACATGCGTTTGGCCTTTTGCCTGGCACACATAACAAGCGACTGCGGGCAGTTGCGACTGCAGCGGCATCGGCATCAGCATCGGCAGCGACAGCGACAGCGCCAGCGTCGCGTTTCGTTCGCTTTTACTGATTGGACTGGCACACTGAGGCAAGTGCAATTTGTTGCTTGAACAAAAATTCGACGAAATATACGACAAATTTCATTAAATCTATATAAAATCATAGATTCTAGAAAGTTAATTTAATGCAGACTAAATTTGAACATTTTTAAAAACTTACAAAACCCTTTGAATCAGCTTTTTAATTATATATGTATATATGCTCCTGTCTCAAAACCTCAAGTAATGTTCAAAAAAGACTTCGAATTAGTTGGTTTAATGTATTTAATATTGTCATTCCTAAAGTGATATTTGGTTTCATTTTTTAAAATTATTATTTTTCCTATAAACAACTTTTAACATTTAATTACTATAATTTTAAATTCTACAATTTATTTGTATTCCATATTTTGTTACCTTTATCTATTTAAAAAGAATTGTAATTAAAAAAAATCAAAAATGTTTTACTTTTCAATTAGTAACTGTACCTTGTACCACTGTGCACAATAGCAATGCAAAAATTGCGCCTCCAATGCAGTGGTCGAAAAGCAACAACAACAATTGAAATGGGGAAAAAGGAGAGGCTTGGGTAGCTCGCAGACTCGCAGCGCGTAGGAAGAGTCGCGACGACGTGGAAAAAAGTCGTGGCAGAGGCCGAGGCAGTGCCTGCGACAGAGGTAAACGCACAGATAGAGGCAAAAACGCAGCGACGTCCACGCAACGCATGTGACCCACGCGGCAAACGGACGCACAATATGCAATACATGACATGAAACGCTGCAGAGGGGAGAGGGCGCCAGCCGCAGCTGGGGGAACTGGGGGAATTCGATGGCAGGCACTCGAGAGTGGGAGTGGGACTGCCCAAAAAAAAACAATGGACAGGCACTAAAATGCAGCCAGAATGAAATGTGCACAGCGTCACAGAGAACACAGCACACACATACAAACACACACGCACACACGCACGCACGCACGCACAGACGCGCACACATGGATGCAGGCAAAACGGCTATGTACGAGAATCGGATGGCCATGTATTGCCATTGACCAGGCACCTCTCAATGCTCAACCCAATGCTGCCCGCTAGCTATTTCGCTCTCGCTCTGGCTCTCAGTCTCTCTCTCTGTCGCCCTCTTCTTCCATCTCTCTTCTGTGCTCAGTGTCCTTGTCGCACTTGGGCAGACCTCTGGGCCGCCTCGCTTGTTTACCAATTTATTTTGCGCACAAAACGAAACACGGAAAATGCATGAGGCCCAAAAATGAGCGTGGAGCAAAAGCAAACGCAACGCAACGAAACGCAGCAGCGCAATGGACAGCCACAGTCACAGGACGCACTCAAAGCACAACAACAAAAACAACGACAACGACAGCAACAAGCTTAACATTGCCGTTGAAAGCAGCAGCAAAAGAGAAGGAGAAAAAAAATTGTACAAATTTCAGTTCGATTTTTGGTCCACAACGCAAAAAATGCTGCTGCCTCGCAGTCGCTATCTCTTACTACCTACCTACACCCCAACCCAAGCGCAAGCTCTCCCGACCCCTCTGTCCCCTCCCTCCCACTCGTTCTCCTTATATATGTAGCTCTCTCGTTCGTTTTCATTTTGTGGCCATTTCAGTCGCTTTTTTTTTGGGTTTTTTTTTTTTGGTTTATGTTTTTTCCTGTTTGCCACTTTGTGCGTAGATTTGCCTTTGCCTTGGCTTTTTTTCAGAGTTGTTGCAACATTTCTTTTTATCGCGACTTGCGCTTTGATGGAATGACCGGGAATTTCTTTGTCTTTTTTCGCTTGGCCCTGACTTGTTCTCGAAATTGGTGGACACATGAGAGCAGGTGGGGCGGAGGGAGGTCTACGCTACGTACTACGTAGACACATTGTTAGTTAGTTCACGTAGTATGCGGCTGAAAAAAGGCGAACAGAAATAAAGCATCTACGATGCAGCAGAGAAAAATGTGGCACAAAGGGGACACGGGCGGTGTCTAAAAGCCAACTAGGAAACAGGACAAAAAAAAAGAAAAAGAAGAGTTTGTGCAACACTGGAGCAGCGAGTGTGAAATGCACTTTTCACATGATATAGGCGTGTATCTTGGGAATATATGCTTATGGGAAGGGTATAAATAATTCGTTACAATCATGTTTTAATTGGATTTCATAAGAATGAGCATTAAGCGTGTTCCTGGAACTTTTCTCATTTTTCTTTTCATTGATAATTTTGTATTTCTAGATAATTTCTAGATGAAAATTCTACAAATTCTTATAATAAATCAGAATACTTTTGAACATTTATTCTTTATATAAAGAAAATATATTATTTTTTATATATTTTATGACCAGGCATCTCTAGAATTACTTTTGAGGACAGGAAAGTATAGACACCTGTGTACAAAAATGAAAAAAAATTATTTGTTTTCAATTCGGGATAGCTTGGGTAGATTTTTTTAAACTGGGAACATTTTTAAGTCCGTTTTAATTTAACCAAAAAATAATTCGAATATTTAAGTACATTTCCATATTATGTTAAATTTTATTCTTTTTAGAATATTATATATTATAATTAATATATTATATATATATATATGAGGAATAACTTTTTGCTATTTTATCCATATAATGTAGTTGTATACAAAATATGTGCGACTTAATTTCTTGGCCAATGTATTAAGAGCAAAAATGCATCACAAAAAACGTGCTCTGTTTTCTCCTGACACACGCCTGAAAGCCGACTACATAATGCACACTGGATGTTGCCGCTTGGGTTGAGGCTCAAAGCTGGGTTGTGGTCAGCATTCCAGCAGAGACTGAAGCCATCAATTGAAGGGGGTCAAAGTTTATTGTGTGACTGGCAAAGATGATGCATGATTATTGCTCATCAATTAATCAGCTTATAAAGTTTGCAACTGGGCATCATTTGAAACATTAAAAAAAAAAATAGTTCAAACTAGTTTTTTTGCGAAACAATAAGTAGTTCATGCTCCGGAATAGCTGTACTATTTACGGAGATTACCTTTTTATAAATTTAAAATGCAGTTATTTTTTGGAGTTCTAAGCAGTTTTTTATTTACAGAACAATTTGGTCATAATTCTTATATTATAATGTATTTTTAATTTTTGATAATTATGTTTATGTTGGTTACATGAAAATTCCACCCCCAAATCAGAAAATTAGGCGTTCAGCTACTGTAGGGTTTATTCATCTTACTATTGCAATAAGGTGGAAAGCTAATATATAGTAAATTCCACCCGTGAATGTGAAAATAAGGTGGAAGCTACTGTAGGATTAGAAACGCTACTGACTAATTCCACTCACTATTGTAAAAATTAGGTGGAAAGCGAATTTAAGATAACTTCTACCTGTATTTGTGAAAATTAGGTGGAAAGCTAATGTATGGTAAATTCCACGTGTAAATGTGAAAATAAGGTGGAAAGCCACTGTACAATTAATTCCACTTATTATAGTATAAATTATGTGGAAGTATAATGTAATTATTCCAACAGTATATGGGAAAATTTAATGGAAAGATACTTCTAATTACTTCTATCCTCAATTGTAAAAAATGAGATGGAAAATTTTTAAAGGAAATTTACTTGTTTTTCATTCATCCGGATTGCTCGGATTTAAAGCAAATTCACATTGCCTAGCGCAAAACGGAAAACATGACAAAATCCTTGTAAAGCGTGCTTGTTAAAAATTTATAAAAATATATAAACATAATAACTAGGTTTACCTGGAAGATTAAAAACTCCGGGTGCATCTACTGTATATATGATTTTCTACAGCTTTTCAAAATTCATATTTCTGAATTTTCTCAGATAAAGTAAGCTAGTGAATATTTGGCAACTGTATATGAACTTGTACTGGACAGAACCAGCAGCTGTTATTTATCGTACTTATTACCTTCTGAGAATTATTACAAAAAGTAGATATTTCAAGAATCGAAAAGAGAAAATCAACCCGAATGTTTCAATTATTTTGCCTAGTTTTGCTGGCAACCGGTGCCAGCAGCAGCTACAGCATATTCAAAGAGAAATTCAACGAGCAGCTGGTCACATATTTACACGCGGGCAAGCCGCAGGTGCAGGACGCCCTGACCCTGCTCCAGACGGTCTATTCGCAGAATCGCATCCACATCTATTGCCGGCGCGATCAGCCGCTGCGATGGCGCAACATCTTCCAGAGCAATCGACTGCAGCTGATCACCAAGGCGCCCAACGTGGACTATGTGCAGTACAGGGCGGCCACGGCACAGGGTGTCTACGAGGCGCATCTGCGGCGCCGCGAATGCCACGAGGGCAAACTGCTGGCGGCAGGTGTACAGCAGGTGCGCTACATAACGCTGCCGGCGCATGCGCACTCCTGCTATGGCATCTACACGGATCAGGCCTACAATTTGACCCTGTTGCAGGTGCGCTGCGACAGGGAGCGTGTGGCACGCTTCCTCCTGGGCCTGGGCCTCTGGCTGGCCGAAACTTTCACTCCGCTGGGCGATACCATATTCTGTCTCTATGCCGTGGCCATTGCGCTGGGCGTCCATTTGGCCAGCGTGGGCGCCGTTTGTTTGGTTTTACTTAGTCGTGGGGATCGCAAATTGAACTATTTGCGTCCAGTGGGCGCCAATTTCAAGCTTGTGCTCGAGCAGCATCCGACGGCCGTGATGCTGGCCCTGATCGGCGGCGCCTGGCTGCTGTTCAACACGTGCCGGCAACATCGTGACCTGTGGCAACATCGCAAGGTGCGTCGCGCCCACAGCCGGCTGTTGCGGCTGCTCGCGTACGTGCTCATCGGAGGCGCCTCGAACCATCCGCGCTTCGGCTGGTATTGCGTGTGCCTGCTGCTGCCCTGGCCGGAGCTGTATTGGCTGATGTGCTGGCTACGGCGGGCAGTGGTTAAGATCCAACGTCAGGTCTTGCCGCCGCGGCCGCGGCTTTTGCTCAGCGAGCGCGAATTCCTGGCCCAGGCGGGCTACGAGACGCAACGTGCCTTGGGCAACATGCGGCAGCGTCTGCGCGTCGCTTCGCCCAGCTGGGAGCAGTTGGCGCAATTACAGGCGCCGCAGCAGTTCGCACAGTTCCTCAGCTCCGGTGCCTACGAGACCGGGAACCCAGCATGGAATGACCGCGCTTTGGACACCAACAACACCAACAACAGCAACGTCAGCAACATCAACGTCGTCAGCAACAGGCAGCTGCAGACCTTGGATGAGGGGCAGCGGGCAGAGGCCGTTATGCTGGAGCATCTGGCAGCTGTTATGAACAGCGACTCGAGCATCTCCAATGCCATTAGCTCCTCCTCGACCGAATCGATCTATCACAATCTGCACTTTACGGGCTCGACGCGCAGCCTGCGGGGCGACTGAACTGAACTAAACTAAACTAAAACGGAAACCATCTCTAAATGGCAGTCATCGACTCTAGACTGGCACAAAAAGATTGCCCCTGAATAATGACAGAAATTGAATCGAAAACACGGCAGCAACCACAGCAACTGCGACGGCAACAGTAGCAGCAACATCGATGATGCCTACAGCAGCAGGAGCAGCAGCAGCAGCAGCAGCAACTACGCCAGCAACATCGCCAGCATATACAACCAACAGCAATAAGAGTAGCAACAAGGCAAACTGTGACAGCAATATTAACAGCTGCAATGAAAAGCGTCTACAGCGACGTCAGCAACAGTGGGCGTAACTACGGCAGCAACTCTGCAACAGCTACAAGGACAATACCAACAGTAACAACGGCAACACCATCAACGATACCAACCAAAGGCAGCAGCAGCAACTTCGACATTGTTGACTAACAACCGCAGCAACAGTGAGAGTAATACTAGCAGCAACAGCAACTAGCAGCTGCAACAGCAACAGCAGCAACAGTAACTGAGACGGACGATATTAGGAATAGCAGCAACAACCAACTGCGACGGCAACAATACTAACGGGAATTACTACTGCAGCAGCAGCAACACCAACATTGACAACAGCAACAGCAGCAACACCAACACGGACTGGCAGCAGCCACGCAAACTACGGGAACAACACAAATTGCGGCAGCAACAACTACGGCAACAACACCAGCAACGACACCAACAGAAATGAACAGGAGCAACAGCAACAACGGCAGCAACAACCGAGACGGCAAGAACTGTGGCAGCAACAATTATAACGGGAACGAGCAGCAGCAGCAACATTGACAACTGCAGCAGCAACAGCAACTGCAGCAGCAAAAACCAAGGAGCACCAACAGAACCAGCGATGACACCAACGAACAGCAGCAACAACTCCCAACAGCAACACCTCCCAACAGCAACACCTCCCAACAGCAACACCTCCCAACAGCAACACCTCCCAACAGCAACAACTCCCAACAGCAACAACTCCCAACAGCAACACGATCAATGAAAATTTCATCAGCAAAAACGGATCAACCCCAACGGGCCTTATTTCTGACCAACTGATAAAAGCTTCCAGTGCAACCTTTGTTTATGTGAGAGTTTCTGGGCGTGGCAACAAAGTTTAGTTTGGAGCTTAACTTGTTCGTTTCAGACCAGTAACCAAATGGTATTTAATTTAATCAAACTTTTTTATAAAAATGTTTTTTGATGTTGAATATCTATAAAAAAACGGTTACTTTATTTTAAGCCGCAGCTTGCACAGAATTCTCCTAGAAGCCAGTCAATGTACAGCTAAACATTAAATATGTTTATCCTGCGGATAATTTGCAGCACATCCCCAATATGGATTCACTAGTACAATAAAGAGAGGAATATAAACCATTTCTGAAAATGTAGTTTGTTGAAGGTTCCATTTTCGAAGCATCCCATGTACTGCTAAAAGCATTTGCAAAGACAGTTGAAAGTATTTTGTACTTTTTACAGAAAGTTTAAACAAATTTGAGACGGTATAAAATACTGAAAAAATACTATTAGTAATATAATTCATGGGCTATTTCTTGTCAGGGTTTTCCATTAGAGCTCCTCAAATGAATTCGCTTAGACCGCAAAGTGACTCATTCCGGGAGACGACTCAGAACGATAGAAGAGACAGATGGCCCATTAACTTAAGCGCTCAATAACTTTGAATATAATTGGGAAGTTCATATCTTTGAATGCTTTTCTGAGACCCGTTTATTGCATATAAACACACTCACACACACTCGCACAGAACGTGGCCGGGAAACTGGTTAAAAGTGCGTGAAGAGAGCGTTACAAATAAGAGACTCGAAACATTTTTGTTAGCCTCGGCTAGCTCCCGGGCGAGCACAGATGTAGGCCTATTAGTCCTGCATTTATCACACACACACAGACACAAATATAGATGTACACACACAGTTAAAACACACACACACTACCGTCTAAACAGGCAGCAAAAGCAACAAGACTCAGTCAAATATCAGAAACGTTCGAAAGCGGCCGCAATTCACCCCCCCTCAATATATCCGCCGGCCCACACCCATGGACACAGCCAGGGCAAAATGCAAATGTGGAAAATGCGCTTTGCCATAACTGTGTGTGTGTGCGAGTGTGTGTGTGATTGTGTGTGTATGCATGCTGGACAGTTGCAGTACGCATTTCAAATCGAAATGTGGAACTTCAATCAGTTGGCGGTGCAGGTAGACTAGTCGCATGTATTTTAGTTTTCTTAATACCCTGTACACATCAATTGTTAAAGGGGATATATATACTTTAAAGCGGAGATGTATTGCGATGTCCCTACAATATTAAGACAATGAACAAATATTACCTCACCCAAATTTAATAATCAAAGTTGGGCATATAATGAATATATCATACTTATACATATATTTATGATATCAATATATCCAACATTTTCTACCATTATCTACCATTTATTTATATAATTAATATATCATATATAAGCCACCTATCCTATCCACATAATCAATACATACTCCATAATCCATCTATCCAATTATCTACAAAATATATATATTTTATCAATTTATACATCTATCTATTCTATATATACAATCTCATGCCATATTATATCTTTTTTTTTAAAAAGCAAGCTATATACATAATAATGACTTCCTACTGCTTGACATTCTACAAGATATTTCAACCTTTGTACAATTGGATCTATTTGATTTATCTATCCATCTATATTCTATCAATATTAATTAGTTTTTATTAGCTCATGCTCATCATAATTAATGCAACTTTTTCTAAAGCCGATTGCCTTTCTACAGGATATATTAGACTCTAAAAAAGGACCAATTGGATATATTTATTTTTTCTATTCATCTATCTAAATAGAGGTTTTTATCTCAATTATTCATCCAGCTGCATAGTATATATCCTATCCGAATGGATAGATTTATTCTAACTAAGTAATCCTCTCCATTCAACTATATACATAATATATATCCGATCCTTCTTATCTTATATTTATCTATCTATCTATCTACATAATATATATCCTATCTATCCATCTGTCTACATATGCCCAGTTAATATATATTCACCAAGTTTTATTGGTTTATGCTATATTATAGATAATAATGCAGTTTCTTCAAGAATCTCTTCACTTTCTACGGAATATATAAGACTTTACTTGAGAACGTAAATAGGATCCATTTAATTTGTCTATCTAGATAATGTTTATATCTAATCCATCTTTCTACATAATATATACCGTATTCATCGACCTACCTTTATAATCAGTATATCCTATCTATCTAACTATCGACATAACCCATATACCCAGTCTATCTATATAAATTAGTTTTTATTGGCTCATGCTATATAATAGATAACATTGGAATTTTTTCTTGACTTTCTACAAAATATTATAAACCTTAACCAAGTTCCAGTTGGATCAATTCAATATGTTTATTATCTATCCATCTACCCACATATTTTATATCCTATCCATCCATCTATCTACATAATATGTAGATCCTATTTATATATCACATATTTTTCTCTATATGAATCAAATTTTATTCGATTTTCTTTTGTATAGCCCGAGATATTGTCAATAATGGATTTTTTCTGTATATCCTTGCCTCTTTGTAGGATATTTTGTACTCTACCTCAAACTGAAACAATTTAGTTTTTTTTATTTTCTATGTGCTGCCTCCAGCTTTCTGCTCATTGATGGTGGTTGGAAAATTGACTAAATGCAACGTTTCGAGTTCATTACGGGGGTATGGGAAGGGGGAGGGGGGTATGCCACAGTCCAAAGGCCCAAATGGGCCAATTTTCCCAGTCCTGTTCTGTCGTGTCCTGCACAGTCGAACAATTCCAATTGGGTTTTTCTATGCGAACGAAATTTTTGGTGTCGCTGCTTCGCTGACTCGTTGCCTATGGTGGTTGTTGTTGTTGTTGTTGTTGTTGTTGTTGTTGCAGTTGTTGTAGTTGTTGTTGTTGTTGATTCTTGTTTGGGACAGGGCGCAGCAAATGGGGTGGTTGGGAAAAACTGCATAGCTAGTCAATATTTTCCTGTTTTCTTTTTTTTGGTTGATGTCCCACGCAAGGATTTTTCGCAGTGGGGTTGCAAGCTGTCGTTGTTGTTGTTGTTATTGTTGTTGTTGTTGCACAAAGTTACGTCAAAGGTCAGGAAACGGGCGGTGGGGTTGGAAAAAGTGAAAAGTTTTCAAGTCCGATTGTGAGAAGAGTTGGCTTCTTTTTTTTTTCGCTCTTTTTATGTTTCAGCTGAGTAGGTTGACTTTTGAGGGTTTTATGGTGCATATCCCTAGCCGAAAAAGCAGGATTTAAAGGTTGTATTTAGGTGTTGAAAGTTGATCTGAAGCACGAGATGCTATTTGAATGCTCAAAGCGAGGGGTTTTACTTTTTAGTTAATAAATTTTGAACATAGTTTCGAGTAGGCTAGAGCAACAATTCGGTTAACTTTTAGGGGCAAAATGATCCCCACAAAGGCTGGTTAGAGAAATCAAATGATTAAATGTGCTTTGATTTAATTAACTTTATGTTTTATATACAAAAAGACGATTTCTGCAGCTCAACCAAAATGTGCTGCACGGTTTTTGCAAATAAAAAGTTATTTATATTTGATTCTCGACCTAAATAGACTCTATAAAGTACTCTTATTTTCCATAATTAGATATAAGCCAGAGAAATAAATTTGTAGCTCCAGCATTTTACATTTAATCACAATAATCTTTTATCAGATTGAATAAAAGGTTCGAAATATTCAGATATAAATTGTAAAATTAAAGATTTTATGCTTCTGAGAGGATTTTAATCAATCCTGAGGATTAAAAACTGAAATAACTGGAATTCATCCCAGTTATCCATCTATCAATTAAATTAGGAATATTAATTCAAGCAAAAATATATTTAAAACCTCAGTTTTTAATTACTTAAATATAGAAAACTTAACTATGCTTAAAGCTTCAATTTAATATTTCAATATTTCAACGTTAAGCTCTCAATGTATAAACTCTATGTGTTCACTTTCCATATAAATATAGCTATAAACATTTCAAATTAGCTTTTTCTAGCTAAGTATTTTTGATAAATTGCATCTTGAACCTATTTAGCTCATATGTTCATTTGAATACAAAATATTTAATATTTAACTAATAATATTAATCAATTCGAATGCATTTATTATTCACTGACCTGAACCATTTTGTTGTTTTGTTTGTGCTGCTGCTGTTGTTGTTTGTTTGTTTAAGTAATAATTAAATCCAAAGGCAAATCAAATGCCAGCCAAAAATTAGATGCCGGCAGCGACCGTCAAAAGAACGACAGAGGAAAAGCAACAACAAAAACCTTCGAGAAGAACTGAGGAAGCGGTGTTAAGCGCACGTGTTAATTTCACTTTTGTTTTGCTGCTGCCGCTGCTGTTGCTGCTGCTGCTACTGTATTTGTGAGTGCTGTTTTATTTACATTCAATTTGCATTGCATGTATGTACATATACGTATATTTGTAATTGTGTTGAACGAATATTAAATGTAATATACAGTTTACGACACAAAACGAAAGGCGGGTGCTTTGTGCGGCGCGGCCTGTGCAATTAGTTGTTGCAGTTAGGCTAATATGTTTGCTGTTGGCACTTTACGCAGCTTTAATTACGCGTTGTTATAATTTCATGCGCAAAAACCGAACAATGAACCGCACGCAACAAGAACATTGGGAACAATGTTATGTTATCGTAAGCAGGCAATGCACGTGCCGTAGTTCAGCAGGCAACAGCAGAACTAGTTCGATTGCGCGGAGCTGTGAGCTAACATAAAGAGCATGTTCTTCGGAACAAGTGCTCAAATTTGAAAATCACACGCTTAATATATAAGTTAATATTAATATATTATTTAAACTTTATGATTTATATACTGCAAATCAACAATAAATGCTAATATGCAGTTAATAGTTACTTAATATATGGCGCCACATGGTAAATTGAAAATATAATGTCTGTATTAAAAGTCAGTAGTTAAGCAGCAGCGGGAACTACTGAATGTGATTTCTATTAGTGCACTGTTATACTCTAAATGGCAACGGTAACTTAAAAGAGTATGTTACTGGACCATATGGTCGCTTTACAACACTTAAGGAAATCTCTGCCAAACGTATTTGTTTATTGCTGTTTTTATTGATATTTGGCGCTTTATTTATGTCAATTGAAAATGTCGGACAATGAATACGAACGCTTTGAAATCACGGACTATGATTTGGACAACGAGTTCAACATTAACAGGCCACGTAGACGCCACACTAAGCACCAACAAATTTACGGTAAGCAAAAGTTACAAATGTGACACAAAAATGATGAAATATTTTTGGTTTTGTCAGGCATCTGGGCGGACGACAGCGACAATGAAGGCGAGGACGAAAGCAGCGGTCGACGCGGTAGGCGTGGCCTGGGCAGCGGCTCCTCTGGCAAGCCCAAAGATTACACGGCGCCAGTAAGTTTTGTGGCCGGCGGCATACAACAAGCCGGCAAGAAGCAGAAGAAGAAGCAGGAGGAAAACGCGGCCAGCGATGAAAATGTGGACAGCGAGGCGGACGACAGCGACGAGACGCGTCCATCATTTGGGCGCAAACAGCCGCAGCTCATGGACAACAGCGATGCCAACAGCTCAGATAGCTCTGCTGGGCCGGAGGAGCAGCCGCCGCAACAGCCAACAATACGGAACACAGCGGGTTTCAGGCACACTTCGCACATACCAAGCAATAGGAATGTTGGTGCCTGGGAGCAGCATACGCGTGGCATCGGCGCCAAGCTGCTGCTGCAAATGGGCTATGAGCCCGGCAAGGGTCTGGGCAAGGATCTGCAGGGCATCGCACAGCCAGTGCAGGCGCATGTGCGCAAGGGACGCGGCGCCATTGGCGCCTATGGTCCGGAGACGGCAGCCAGCGTGGGCGGCCAGCCGGCCAAACCGCTCAAGCTCGACGAGGATGTGCGCGAGGCCAAGGAGTTCAAGGAGCAGCTAAACAAATGGAAGAAGGGCGGCAGCAGCGACACGCGCGAAAAGTCCAACAGCAAGCGCTACTACTACAAGTCCGTGGAGGAGGTCATTGCCAAGGGCAAGAAATCGGATCATCTGCTCTCCGAAAAGCTGAGCAAGCGCCTGGGCAATGTGCCTGTCATCGACATGACCGGACCGGAGCGCCGCGTGCTCAGCGGCTATCATGCCTTGGCTCAGAACAAAATCACGCCCGAGGAGACGCTGTACGATGCGCAGGCTGGCGAGGAGAAGGGCGCCACGCCCGCCTCTGTGTTTAGCATGCCCGAACTGACGCACAATCTGCAGCTGCTGGTGAGCCAGTGCGAGCAGGAGATCATTGCCATAGATAAGTCGGAGCGCGAGTGCGCGGATCGGCAGACGGCGCTGGAGCACGAGCAGCACCAGCTGCTGGAGCTGGTCCAACTGGAGCGCAATCACATGAGCACACTGGAGGCGGCGCTCTCCCGACTCGAGCAGCTCAGCGAGAATCCCGAGCTGAGCCTGGCGCAGGCGGAACGGCTGTTCCTGGAGCTGCAGCACGACTATGCCGCCGAGTACAAAGAGTTCGGCCTCGCCGATCTGGCGGCGGGCGTCATTGCGCCGCTACTGAAGCGCGAGCTAAGCGACTGGCAGCCATTGGAGCAGCCCACCCAGCCGCTGCAGCTGATCAAGCGCTGGCGTGGCATTCTGCAGCAGGACGAGCCCGAGCTGCTGGAGCAGCAGTCGCGCAACGTTTTCGATCCCTACTCCTCGCTGATCTGGGCGGGCGTGATGCCCTCCTTTAGATCCTGTGCTGCCAGCTGGCAGCCCAAGGAGCATGCGCCGATGGCCGCATTGCTCGATGCTTGGGCGCCGCTGTTGCCCACTTGGGTGCTCGACTCGGTGCTGGAGCAGCTAGTGTTGCCGCGCCTGACGGCGGGCGTGCGCGATTGGGATCCGCTAACGGATGTGGTGCCCATACATATCTGGATTCTGCCCTGGCATGCCATACTGGGCGCCAAGCTGGAGGAGTCCATCTATCCGCAGATACGCAGCAAACTGGGCGTGGCACTGCAGGCCTGGTCACCGCAGGATCGTTCGGCGCGCGCCATGCTAACGCCCTGGCAGGCCGCATTTCCCGAGGAGCAGCTGGTGCAATTCCTGCTGCGCCACATCATACCCAAGCTGCAGGCGGTGCTCGCCGAGCTGGTGATCAATCCGCTGCAACAGAACCTCGAGCTCTGGCATCAGGTGTGGGAATGGCACGAGCTAATACCCGCCGCGCATATGGCCCAGCTGCTGGACAAGCATTTCTTTCCGCGCTGGATGCAGGTGCTGGCCATGTGGCTCAATCAGTCGCCGGACTATACCGAGATCTCGCGCTGGTATGCTGGCTGGAAGAGCATGCTGAGCGAACCGATTCTCCGGGAGCCCTGCATCAAGGAGCATCTGCGTCGTGCTCTCGATATGCTGCATCGCGCCACGGATGCGGTGCTCCAACCCACAACTGCCCCGCCGCCGCCCATGCCCCCAGTTGCGCCCGCTTCTGTGCTGCTCACACCCGTGATGCTCGTCGATGTAATGCCGCCCGCTCAGCTGGAGTTCAAGGAGCTCGTCTCACAGAAATGCGCCGAACTGGGCATCATATTCGCACCCCTGCCCGGTCGACGGGAACTGGGCAAACAGGTGAGTCGCAAGCGCGTGGAATTTCAAACTAAACTTTTTTCTTTAATTTAAGATTCAGATCGAATCGCATCACTATATTATATAAGCTGCTCATAGTTGGGGTTTTTGAGATTTCTTGAAGAATCTTGGAATTTAGGGGTGCAAAATTTTATGCACATCGTGCTTCTATGTCGTAGAGTTCTATAGGAATAATCGGCTGTAAAATGTGCTTTAAAACATCTATACCCAGCTTCGTACGAGCTTCAATTTTGTCCCAACATATTGGCAGAACCTTATTAAATCGGACTACTATATCATAGGAACAATCAGTCGGTTTCGTATAAAAGTATTTGCAAGTCTGCAAACTTCTTTTGAACCAAGCTAGTTCGCAGTCTAATTTATTTGGCCCAAAAAAACGGCTCAGGCGAAAATCGAAGAAAGCACAATTTTTCTAAAATAGTTTGATTATTAACTGAGGGAAACTTAACCCTAACCCTAACCATGGAACCAACAAAATTTATTGTATGGCAATTTCTGGGATAAATCAAATAAAGCTCGCAAATTCTCTATGAAAATAAGCAGGTATTGAATACTTTTTAGTAGAGCAGGCAAATTAGCAATTCAATTGTTTCATTTACATTTTAGAAATATTTGAAACCTGTGCTTGTAAATGTGATAAATCAGATGCACATCCTGTCGCTTAGAACCAGCCTTTTTGTCTGGTTCTATTTCATTTTTTTTGTACACAACTAATTTTTTCTTTGGTATAAAACAAATATTAAAGCATTCTTTCTTCCAGATCTATCGCGTCGGCAAACTCTTCTGTTACATCGATCGCAACGTTTGCATGCTGAGCGATGTCAGCTTTACGAATTGGCAGCCCGTGGCACTTAATCAACTGCTGGAGCGTGCGCAGACGGGGCTTCTCTAGTCATGATTATTGTTAGAGACACAAAAAGGCTCCCATCGTACCCCATTACATATGTTAAAAATAACTCTTGTTCAGTTGTATATTTCATAATTGTAAAATAAATTTAATATATATAATATAAGGAGATAAGTCGGCTCTGAATTGCTTTAAAATATATTCTCATTTAGATATAACTAATCATATACAAGCACATTGTCATATATAATCAGGCAGCAGTCCATTTTAACTATACGTCACGAACAAAAACAAAAGTAAAGAGCCTTTTAGATTAGGTGCAGCAGAAAGCGAGAGTAACAATACAAGAGAGAAAGAGAGAGAGAGAGAGAGACAAGCTCAAGAGAGTTAATTGTAAAATGAGAGCTAAAGCGACGATAAAATTAATTAGCTTGGCAACACAACTTGTCACAAAATTAGTTAAAACTGAATGCTTGAAGAACTGAAAGTCTTGCTTGAATTTATGAGAATCGCATAGAAAGGCATAATATGCAACAAAATTTGTAGCGCTGCCCGGCACTGTCTAGGCTATAATTGTTTGTTGAAATTTAGAACATCCTTTATACAGTAAGCATTTAAATATTTTCCTACTACTTTGAACTCACTTATCGGAGTGGATTTGCGCAATTGCTGAATCAGATTGCAAATCACATTTTGCATAGATATTTAAAAATTAGTAAGAAATTAATTAGGCGATAAACAAATACAGTCTTTCGCATTTTATTCGGCCGTGGGATAGAACACGTGCAACATGTAATCATTATTTAAGAAAGTTGAGGTTTAATTCAGAGATTTACTAATATATATTTAAAATAGGATAAAAGGCTTGCCTACATAACATAGCATGTCAAAGTCTTTATCTGCCACAGCTAAACTCAATTTTGGGTACTAAATATTTGGCTACTTTCTCGTTTCCTCTTTTCTCATAATTATATCTGGGTTTATTTTTATGACAAGTACATAATTGAAAGAAATATTTCTCAGTTAGAATATGCTCATTTTAATTTGACTAACTCAACGGAATTTATTGTTTGGTTTATCAAGAACGCAGGAAGTTGCCGCCCTATCAGAGTTATAAACACAATGGGCGTCGGGCCTACGCGACTTACACAATTATATTGTGCACGTAAAAACATTTGATATTGATCACAATGTGGCTAATCTCCTCACTTATCGCAGCCATATCTATGAGCCCTTATCACTGGCATCAATTGTGCGTGGGGAAAAACTGGGGGGAAAAACTGTGCATAAAATACCTCAAATAAAACTCAGCCATATCAAAGTACTTTGCAAACGCGATGTCATGAACATACATGCCTTAGGTCTCTGAGCGTCGAACTAGAATGCGAGAAGTTGCTGGTTCAAATTCAAATTTCTTTATTAAATTTGTTACTACTCATAAAATAAAACAATATTACATTAAAAATAAATTAAGAATAATAAATCGTTCTTTTTTTTATTTTTTTTTCAACATTATTATTATTTTTATTTAAAATCTGTCGGACACAAAATTTGGAAATCGAACCCAAGCGAAGAGAAGCAAGTTAATATGATTGAATATTTAAGATTGAATCGAACTTTGTTTACTTGAATCGATAAGCTACAAAGAGTTATTACATGTGTTGTTTGATTTATAAGTTTACCGTTAACACTTAAAGATTGCCAATATCAAAGACAGATAAAGCAGGTAGCTTATCAGCGATAGCAGCTAAAGAGTTTCAATTATGATGGGAAAAACATTTGAACGAAATAAAAAGAGACGCACCTAATAATTATATAAAGTAGAATGCAAGAACTGAGAAACTAATTCTTGAGAAATGTGCTGCAATAAATGTAGACCTTGATATGTCTCTAGTTACATTTTGAAATAGAGCGCAGAATTTATAGCTTCTTTAAGTTTCATCGTGCCTTCTCCGAAGAACCTTATTACGTGCTCGTGCTGGGTCGTGCCGTATCACGCGCCCATCTCTAATTGTAACCATAGGAATGCGAATGCGTACCATGGTCAGATTAGGACTCTAGGAAAGGCCTCTATCGCTAACAAGTATCATGTTCCATTTGCAGCCTTCAGTTGGCTGTCTTCACTTGTCGCTGGCGGTTGTAACCGCGCGCGTTTTTTTTTCCCAAAAACGAACTTCTTCGTTTTTTTTTGGATTAAACAATTGTAATGAAAATTCTTAACTAATTCTGGAAAATTACCAGAGGGTTAACTGAAGATTAACGTGTATTGCACCTGATATTACACAGAAACCCTTCGATTTATTGTGTTATATATTCTTATCAAAGTTAAAGTTTGGCCGCGTTTCAGTTTAGCACGTACTTGGGCTAAAGTTCAGCCTTGAGCTGGGTAATGGGAGAACCCCGTCTGGCCGTGGTTTATCATTTAAAGTGTGACAGTTGTAAAGTGCCCGCAAGCTATATATATACTATATAGTATATATCATAATGCAATTACAGTATAAGTAATTGTTTTAATTTTGCGCTCGCGTGTGCCGCTCCAGTCAAGCCCAGCCAAGACCCAAGTGTTGCCACATCCATGGTTGTGCAGGTCAATAAACGCAGTGTGCTCCTCGTGCTGCTCGTCGTCTTGGTTTTGCTGCTCGTCTCGCGAAATCTGCGGCAAGCCCAACAGCTGGCAGCTGCCCACGAGAGGCGGCAGAGCCATAAATCGCAGGCCGAGGCCGAGTCCCTCACGCTTCTGGACATAACCGAAGCGGACGCGCCGCTTGATCCGAGCACCGAGGAGCCCAGATGGCTTTCGGCACGCACCCAAGAGCTTCAGGCTCTGCTCAAATGTCGCAATCGTCGTCTGAGACTGCAAAAGCTGCAGCACGGCAATTATTGGGTGATCCAGAACCTGGTCATGGGACGCGAGAGCCAACGCATGGGCTGCGCCGAGTCCATCACCTACACCACAAACGGCGACTACACCTTCTTTGACAATCTCGAAACGGTCACCGAGCGGTAAGCATAAACATATCTCGAATTTGTGAATCCCTTTTCAATATTTAATCTTAGTATTTACAAGGATCGGAATTGTTTTAGCTTTTTAAATAAAATACTTGGTTACTTAGGAATGTTTATCATTTTACAGTTAAATAGTTATTGGATTTTAAGAAGATTAAGTAAATTTGAAAATATTCCGACTGATTTCAAAGAAAGAATTCCCAGACTAATAACTCGACTTAGTTAATGCGTTGCCTTGTTTGAGAGTACGCAAGTTCTATTGGCAAATATTTTTTATTTTTTTTTTAACATTATTATTATTTTGATTTAAAATCTGCCCGCTCTTTGACAAATATATACACATTTTTTTTATTGCTACCCATGAAAATTTTTAGTTCATTTTTATAGCTCATCATTAAAAAAAAAATATATATTTGTATATATTTGCCAACGTACTCTGTTTCAAAATTATCTCAAAGACCATTTTATATTCCTCTTTCATTACGATCACATAGATCTAAGCCCAAAATCGATAAGAATCGATCTATCGTTGTCTATTGCCAGTTTTTTTTTAATTATTTTGATAATCTTAAGAACTACAGTTTCTAACTTAAGGAGGTAGTTTCTTATAGAGCACAAACATATCCAGAATAGTTCACATATTTTATACCTCCCACAGCTACCCGGAAAAATATTTAGAACTTATTCTTAGAGATACAGCTTCGGGCTTTGGGATGTACACACTCTTTGAATTCATATGTATGCCCCTAAAATTTCATAAGGATCGGACTTTAGGAACCGAAGTTATGCAAGAACACATTTACCCTTGGGTCGATCTAAGAGAAGAAAAAACACCCGTGCTTGATGGGGAAAAAGCTAGAATATTTTTAACATCAGCTTGCCGCTGGAAAGAGCGAGTCGATTAGAGCACTGTGTCTTGTTTTTCTTAAAATCGGTCAGCTTTATCTATTTTATGATTCATGAATTTCTGTCTTCCGCTTTTAGCTGGCTGGGACCAATCAGCTTTGCGATACACACGCCCGGCTACGATCTGAACGCCACGCTGGATGCCATACAGTATGTGAGAAACTGTTTGCCGGGCAGCCAGCTGATCAGCGACTTCGTCAGCTTCCACATTTACTTCTCCAACGAGCATATGCCCGAGTATGTGCCCCACGACGAGAACGAAGCCCTTAACTGGCCCTTTCGCTGCGTGGATGAGGCTGGAGGCCCGTTGCCGCCGCCCTACGCCGCTGCGAACCGTACTGCCATGTACAAGGTGCAGGCGAACCTGACCTATCCGATAAATGTGGGCCGCAATATCGCCCGGGGGGCGGTCAATACCCACTTCATTTTCGCCTGCGACATTGAGCTCTATCCGAGCCTGGGCTTGGTGGATCAGTTCCTGGACATGGTGCAGCGCAACAATAGTGTGCTGGCCCTGAGTCCAGGCCAGCAGCCGCGAGTCTATCCTCTGCCCGTCTTTGAGATAAAGGACGGGGAGCGTGTGCCCAATGACAAGGCCGAGTTGCTGCCCCTCCTGGAGAAGGGTCGGGCGCAGCTCTTCCATGCGAAGGTCTGCACCAGCTGCCACAAGGTGCCCGGCTACAAGGACTGGATAGATCGCACCGCCAGCGTCACGGACGATCTGAATCTGTTTAGCATGACCGTGCGACAGGGCAACCACAAATACTGGGAGCCCTTCTATATCAGCGACAATACGGAGCCCATTTTCGATGAGCGCGTCACCTGGGAGGGACAGTCCAATAAGCGCATACAGGTATGCTCCTTAAACCCTGAACCCATTAAAAATGGGTAAAAGGGATATTTGTGCAAATGTATGTAAGAGGCAGAAGGAAGCATCCCCGATCCCATAAAGTGTATATATTCTTCATTCAGCATCAATAGCCGAGCCGATCCAGCCACGTCCGTCTGTCCGTCTGTCTGTCCGTCCGTCCGTATGTATGAACGCAAGGATATCAGAACCTATAACAGCTAGAGACTTTTATACGTAGGTCCTCCTAGCGCCCGCGCAGTACGAGTTTGTTTCCAATAATCGATAACTTGTCCCGTTTGTAAGTAAACGATAAAAATCGATATCGAAATCTTGTTTTTTGAGCAATTTCGGCAAATAATATGAGCTAGAGTCACCAAAATTGACATGTAGCTTCTAGAGTAGTAGATATATATCAAGTATCTTTCATTTTATACCTAACGTCTGTTGGAAGAAGAGGGTTCAGTGTATCTCCTAGTCGGTAGCTCCCGACTAGAGCTTCTTACTTCTTATTACTCGATTTGTTCTTCATTATTATCGGAAAATGCACAATTCGATATTAAGAGAGAGCAAGAACAGAAAAATTTACCAATTTCTTCTATAGAGACAAGTTTGTTCAAGATATCTTGAACACAAGAAGTTTTTCATGCACGAAATTAATTTTTGACATATGCTCTGTCTGCGACAGAAAAAAAGCTTTAATACTTTTAGATTTATCAAGCATATATACGCGTAACGCGGTCGAAGTTGTCTCTTACTATAAATCCATATTTTTAAACCAAATTCTAATATTATATATCAAAATAATATATATGATATATTATATTTATAATGAAGGGATTCCTTAAACGGATTCAGATCTGAACAAAATCAATTCGATCAGTTGTTCACAGTGTGCCAAGAGTCTGAAACTTGGGGTCACACTGAAAAATGTGATTTCCTTATGCTTGCTTGTGTGGCCGTTCTTTTCGAAGAACATTATGCGGTCACACTGGATATCTGTTTACATTATGTTGTGCTTTCAATATGAAGCACTTTGTATGCTAGCTGCACTTGAATTTTTTTTAAATTAATTAATTTAACATTGTATGCAAGATGGGACTTAAAGATGGAGATAAAAAGGACAAAAGTACAGCTAAAAATATAAAAAAATAAAGAAACTAGGGATTTTGCAAGCAAGTTATTATTATTAAAAGGATAAGAAAAATAGTTTTTAAACTATCTTTGGGCACTTTGTACTTTTGCGCAGGCCGCCAGCTGATCACGAAATCGAAATCAAATCAGTTTCAGGAATCCCAGTAATATAATTTCATTAACTATTATTGCCTATCGATTTATCGATCAATATGCACATCTCTAGTGAACGCTTAGAGATCTTTTCTCTTTTTTAAGCATTGGAAATCTTTTAATTTATAATAATTTATATCCTCTAATTGTCTATTTTTTCAGGGCTATGCTATGTGCCTGCTGGGCTACGAGTACCATGTCCTGCATCCTGCCTTTCTGGTGCACAGTCCCGGCATTAAGAAGCCGGCACGGAATTCGATGCGCGCCAAATATGCCAGGGAAATGACCAAGTTTATCAAGACCAAAATTGAGCCCGAATATCGAGTACTCTACGGCAAGAACAAGAATTGCGTGACGTGACATGAGGAGACGAGACAGGCAAAGGCTCGCATTCAAGTGATATAAACTTAGCTTTAGTTGTAAATATTTAAGATAGTTATTTATGTGGAGTACATATTTAAAATATATTTTTATGTTAAAGAAATGGAAACTCTTCCAAAGCAGTTCGACTCGCTTCTGTTTATCTACTTCCAATTTTCAATGGGTGCAGATTTTTAGGCTTACGATTTCATTGTAGATCTGAAGCCAAGTCAGGCACAATTTCAAATTTTATTCAATTTAAATTTTAACCCGCTTGACCCAACTCCTTCTTTCCATAGTTTAAGCTAATTAGAATCTTACCCTGTAAATAAATAATGAAATAAATAAGTAATTGATAGAAAAAAAATATTGATATAATTATGCAATAAATAAATAAATAAATAATTTATGGGAAAATATTGATATAAATATAAAATGTACAAAATAAAATTTTATAAGCAGTTTGAAAAGTAAAAAAGTTTTCTAAAATACAAGAAATTGATTTGTTTTTTAATGAAATAATGAATTAATCTTTTTAGGGCATAAATATATTTTTTTTTTTTGATGGCATAAGAAAAACCACTTTATTTAAAATCTGTCTTGCTTTGACAATTATTAAATAAATATAAATATGGCATCCAAATGTGAGATCGGCGAGTTTTTTAAAAAATGAAGTATTTATTGTATATATAGTCTTTACGAGACTCTGCACACCAAATTTGGAGTCTCTAGCTCTTATAATTCTTGAGATCTGTTCGATAACAGAATATTGATATCGATTTTAATAGATTTCGTGGCAACAGGACAATTATTGATGGTCACATGAGGCATAAGCAAAAGAACTGATAAATATGCAATCCAAATGTATGCGAATACCAAAGCCAAAGTCTAAACCTATAATGAGATATGTCATTTTCGAAAGAAATGGAAATATTCAGGATATGTGTTTTCCATATAAGACTCAACATACCAAAGTTGGTTTCCCTAGCTCCAATAATCCTCGAGATAATCTCAAAAAACCGAATGTCGATTTACAGCAAACTGGACTAAAGCACCCAAAAACCAAATAAAAATTTCAGTAATTACCACACCTACAAAAAAGGAAGACATTTCGTATATAGCTTCGGGACTATAAGAAAATCTAGTTGAAAAAACAGTTAAATACATTTGAGAGCCAACTCTGATATCTCTTCCACAATTATCAGATATTTGCGTCAAGATGGCAGCGCTGCAAGTGTGGTGAGAGTGGCAACGCTGCATGTGTGGTGAGAGTGTGTGCTTTGCTAAGATTATAAGGTTTAGGCCAAATTGACGCTAGATGGCGCTTTAAACGGAGTTTGCTTTTTGTGGATCAAATGTTGTGTTTCCGAAAACGGTTTTTAGCAAAAGTACATGAACTTGGGCGAGAAGCAGGGCTGCTAAACGGTTTCAGTTCGAAAAGAAACATAATTTTATATGTGTTTATGTAGATTTTATAAATAACATAAAAATTTTAAAATAGGTGTGAGCTAAGTTCCAAACTAAAGCCTGGGTTGATAGATGTGGCAAAGCAGTTTCACGAACCGAGCCTTGATTTGCACTCTTGTTTCAAGCCCCAAGCTGAAACTCCGAAAATTACTATAGGGTTTATAGCTTTGATAACTGGTGAAAGTCAGGTATATCGGAAAAATCAAACCAGAATATTTAAGCAAATAATACCAATAAGGAGGATAGAACTTCGGATATAAACTTGAGCTGGAAAAAAGTTAGTGGCCTGCTAATACTAGCTCAAGAGACAAGAAATTGAAATAGTATAAAGGGATAAGGGATAGACGAAAGGAAAGTTACATAAATCTAAAATTGCATTAGCTGGCAAGGAGTCAATCTTAAAAAATTTTAAAAAATAAATAAGTAAGAACACAAAAGTTGAACCCTTTTAATTCCAAAAATTTGGAATTACATAAAGAAATTTAATAAATTAAAATATTTTAAAATTAACAAAAAAAAAACAAGTAAGAACTGAAAAGTTAAATTCTCGTAATTGCGAGAATTTGAAACAACAAATAAGAAACTTTGAGTATTATAACAGCAAATGTTGCCCAACTTTGTAGCACATGAAAAACGAAGAAGAACTCATTTCGAATACAATTTTATTTTTTTAACAATAATGCAAACATGGAAATCTCAGCATTTGTAAACTAGAATCCTTTTCTGTGCGCATAGCCCAAGTTGATGGCATTACGAAGCAAGACTTCAGCCAAAAGTTCCTGGCTCTGGAAATGCTTGTGGGCCTCATCTTGGCCAGAGTTGATATTTAGCTCATTTGAAATTGGTTCCAAGTTTTCAATTTGCCACCATTTGGGCGCATTTTTGTCCACATTAACAACATTTACATGTTTCGTTTGGGTCGCATTGAGTCTGGGCCTAAACGGATCCGAGCCATAAAGCTGTTGATATTGCCTGCTCCGCACAAGTTTCAGGATTTGTTCAAAGGCGAGCAGCGCCACGAAGTCATAGACCGTTAGCACTGCAAGATATATAATTAATAAATGAATATTTAAATATATACATATTTATAAATAATCAGAGCACACACTTGCATAGGCAGTCGCCGTAAGAGTTAGCAATATGAGTTTTTCGAGGCTCACGAAATGTCTGACGATTCGCAGAAAGAGGACGAAAAGCGTTATGATTTGCACAATATATACAAATTCGAATATCGCCAGAGGTAAAACCAAATATCTCTTAAGCTGTTAAAGAAAACCAAATAGAAACTCAGAAAATTTCACATTTTATTCAGGCGCTCACTTTATAAGCTCCATACGCGGCAATAATACAGGACATGCAATGGATTATCGTATAAATCTGAAGAAGTATGGTAACCGCTTCGGGATCTGTAAGATATTTTTGGTAATATACAAGATATATGCTACGACATATCGACAAATACTGAACAGAAATGATATGGTAATAAACAAGATGCATTTCGACAATTCGACAAAAACTAAACGAAAATTCCAACAAATTCCAATAAAAAATAGTCTCTGAGAAAGCACGAGTTATTTTAAGTTAAAAGAAAATTATTTTAATTTCGATTATAATAAAATAAAATTATTAAAAAAGTAGAAAAAAGCTAATTTTATAACAATAATGAAAAATATTTTGATATTAAAATAAAATGATAACAGTTAAATAAATATAATTAATCCTAATTATGAACCCATTTTTTTTATACTGATAATTATATTTATATTATAATAAAATAATGCTACATTTTTCAGGATGCGAAAAATTAAAACAACTAAGTCACGTCTAATTATAAAATAAGAAAAATAATAGAATATTGTTAAATAAATATTTATAATAAACTAATTATATACCCTATTTTATTTTTGTTATGTATGTTTAAGCAAAATTATAAGAATATATTTTTGTTTCTATTTAATTTAATTAATTAATTAATTAATTTAATTTAATTAATTTTAATTAATTTAATTTTTGATTTAAATTAATAAAAAAGAGAAAAAGTCGATTCAGTCAATGGCAAATCATTAATCTGGCATATTGCAGGATTTCAAATTTTGAATAAAAATATTAATAAATAAATAAACTAATTATACACAAATTTTCTTAGTTTTGAACTTAAAAAATATTTAGGCAAAATTATAAGAGTAAATAATATTTTTGTTTTGTGCCCTTTAGCAATAAAAGATGTGTTTTTAGAATTTTGATCAGGTCGACCATTTTGTGGCGATTTTCATTGATATAATACTTATTTAGAACGTGATACTTACACTGTTCCAACCAGTAAATGGTATCTCTGACCATATAGTAGCTGGCTCGGTAGCTCAAATTAATATCAAAAGTGGAAATTAGCGAAAGCGTGAAATCAAAGCCTTCCGTCGAGATAACATATAAAATAGTAATGCTTTTTATCTGTACAACGAGCAAAAATTGCAGTAAGTAAAAGAATAAATACAAATTTGAAGAGTCGAGAAGTCGCTGGTTTAATTTAAGCAGTACATTTGTAATTGGTTTTAGGTAAGCCAAATTAAAAGGAAATTGGATGATTAAGGACCAAAGTCACAATTAACTAACCAATGCAAACGCGCTTATCAAAATAACACCCAGTCGCACCGAGGCGCAGAACAGATAGGACTCCATAAACAGCATTGCGGAGAGAAACTGAGGATTCGTCCTGGAGCATTGCGAGGCGAACGCCATGACGTCCAGCTGGCGAATGAAATATTGCTAGCCATTCGAGTTGCATTAGAGCCAAATATGAATACAGTTAAGGTATCATATATGCAGATTGGCATCTCCATGTGGAACAAGCTTTTGTCATTTACGACCCTCTCCGTCCCCTTTGTTTGTTAATCGTTCGTTATTGTCTTTGGGCCATTTGTCCGGCTGCGGCAGTCGCGTGGGTCCGGCAGGTGCAGCTAGTTGTCGCCTGAAATATGGCCAAGCGTTTAAAGTAATTGAGCTCGGAATATGTTGTTTATGGAAAGCTATTTGTGCTATTGTTCGGTGCGCCTCGGCATACTGATTGTGGCTGCATTGGGCATTGTAAGCAGCATCCTTTCAGAGTATCTGATCTTGTTCATGAATTACTTCCCGACAACTTCCACAGATCCTGTCCGTGACACTGAGCACACTCTTCTTTGTGCGGGGCGTGCGATTGTTCGATGAACTTATCGATTTGCTGGAGAATGACTCACAGTACAAGAGCAGCAATATTATACGCAGACTCATCAACTGGATAGAGCACTGTGAGTATGTGAGAATTAAGGCTGCAAACCGACATCAAATCAATCTGGTTCAAACCCGGAATTTGTCAACTTTTCTTCCCCAAGAAGCGAGCCTTAAAATCTTCAGCTGAAAGAAACCCATATTTTTTCTCATTTTGGGTTCGAGCTCACAGTCTGAACTGTCTTTGGACTTTTTAACATTATTCTTTGAATACAAATTTTATTTATATTAAATTCGATTCGTTTAAGAACTTCTAAAGATATGAGAAACAAGCTTTCCAACAAAATCTGGTTTGTGTTGGAAAATTGCTTCGCACTGAAATTTTTGGCAATTTTTAAGGTCTTGCTAAATTTAGTAAAAATTGTGTAATTGATGCTTTTTTTTTTCTTCCGACAACATTGCAGCACCCGATAATGTGCTGATATTCCTGCAGATCATGTGCTATGCTCACATTGCAGCTGCCTTTTTGGGCATAGTCGGCGCCTTGAGGGTAAGTACAACTTGGCAGATCGGTTTCAAGGAGTAAAATTTAGCTGCTAATCCAACTTCTATTTCGCTCTCAATACTTGATTAGGTTTTATGATTTGTCGAAACACTTTTTAGAGCTGCAAATTTGAGCTTAAGTTGAGCAAAGAATTTCAATTTGATGTACAGAAAATGTTGTAAAATTCAACGATTAAATTTTAAGAACAAGTTTTGCTGAAACTTGGTATTTTTAGTTAAATGTTTCCCTGAACCCATTGAAAAAGGGTAAAAAGGGTATAATGGTTTTGTAAAAAAGTATGTAACGGGCAGAAAATATATATTCCCGATCAGCATCAATAACTAAGTCGATCAAACCATCTCCGTCTGTCTGTCCGTCTCGACAGACAGTCGTATTCCTGTTTTTTAAACAAATCTCTTAAGCTTTTAGGGGTAAAGTCACCAAGAGTAGCTTCTTGAATATATATAAATATATAAAGTATCTTTCAAGTAACTTTATCGGGAACTCCCGAAGGCAACTCCCAACTAGAGCCTCTTACTCGTTTTTTCTTTTTTTTTTGGACGTATAAATTGTTTAATGTATTTCTGCTCGACTGTTAATTTTTTAAATTCTTTTATTTTATTTAATTTTTTCGAATACGATCTATTTAAAAGCTTTGCCTATGCTCTATGAATTGCAATATTTGCATTCTCTTGGCCGGAAAGAGGTTTAGAATTCTTGTTAGTTATTTTAAGTCTGTTTTTAGCTCATCTAAGAAAGGCACACAAAATGCATATATCAAAGATACACTAAAATCTCGAAGCCATATTTAATTTTCGTACTAGAAATTGAAATAGAATTATAAATATGTATATTTAGAAAACTAGCTCTATTCGAGAAGGTAATTTTACATTTTTTATTAAATAAAATTCCCTTTAATCACTTCTTAGCTGCACAAATGGTTGTTGCTGCCGTTGGCCTTGTTCGAGTTCATCTACTTTCTGGGCATAACAATTAGCCACATTGTGATGATGATTATGCTGAAGAAGCAAATCAATTTGGGTCTGCTAATTGTGCTCACCCTGATAGGCAGTTTCTATTGCCGTAGGTGGACACAAATGTATTCTTGTTGTTGGTTTTTCTAATGAGAGTTTTTTATTTGTGGGCAGTTTTCGCGGGCTACAACTGTGTCACTTGCCTTGCCATGTACCAGATCATAAATCTGGTGAGGAGCAGCAAGTATCGGCAGCTTTATGGCGAGGATCCCTTTCAGCCCATTGTGATGCGGCGTTCGCAGGGCGAGATACAGCAGCTGCGCCTGCTGCACACACCTGAGGACACGGACATTGACGAGCAGAAGCGTCTGGCCAAGCTGGGCCTCTGGCCCGTGCGCCGCCAGCCTCAGGTAATCTCAGTTATTCCGGTGCAGGCCCCGGCTGTCAGCTTGAAGTGGTGGCAGCAACAGGCCCTTGACAAGGACGAGCAACAGCTCCAGGACTCGTCTGTCTATCGCAACTGGCAGCGCGATGAGCTGCTGCGAGGCGTTGGCGGCGATGTGGAGCGCAAAAATGCAATAAATCGACGCTACGCCGAGGTGCAACATTTTCAATGGCGCTAAATGCCCGGGGAGACACACTCCCCCCCTCTATTTAATAAGTGTGGCAGGAAAAGCACAAAGTTTCAATTCGATTTTATTTCTTAAGTACCTCAAAGAGTATTTTTTAATTATTTATATTTAACCATGTTTAACAATAATAATTATTGGATATAAGCAATTTCTAATAAATATATCTATATAATCTCACGAGACGACCTTGGTCAAAGGAATTCGACCCTTTATATATCTGTGGTACTACCTATACTATAGTATGTCTCATGTATCTGATCGCCACAATATACAATTTAATAAAACTGAATTGAATCTCACAGATACAATTCTTGTTGTTTGCCCTTCGTGGCTTAAATTGGCTTAATAATCTTTCTTCACTATTTAATCGTAGCAATAAGCTTGGTGTAATATTTACTTATAAGTCAATTTCAATTAAACTTCTCTTTTTCTACTAGCCTAACTCGTAAGTATACTCTTTTATCGCTTCCTTGCACGAATCGTTCAGGGTTCTGTTGGTTCTGTGATGATTATAACAAGCATTACAACGTATTCTGCTCAGAGTCTTCTCTTCCTCGAATAAAGTCTTCTATTCTAAACTATTTAGCAGTAGATAGTCAGTAGATAGTCTAAGCATAAAGTCTTAGTTTGTATTCGCCCCTCGGTGGGTCGAGCGGAAGGTGGGAAAATATATATATAATATATATATACATATATATTATTATTTGATTCAATTCTATGGCCCCCATCAAACCACGAAAAAGGTGAAAAAACTAACGCTGGGAGCGTTTGAATAAAAAAATAAACATTTTTACATGCCACATTTAAGCTTTGAAATTTTCATAGAGATCGGAATTTGAAAAGTATGGTTAAAAGAACAAAAAATAAATTTCCCCACGGTGTGTGTCAAAATAAAATATGTATCTATATATATATGCATAGATAATATACCACACTTCAATATTTATATCTGCATTCTATAGAGCATTGTGCTGCTTTGATATTAGTTATACAAAAAATTAAGCACAACGAGAAGAACTCTTTACTTAATATATTTATGAAGTAGCTATATGAATTGATTTGACAGGAGAGCAACGAGCTTTTATTTTGAGAAAGATAAAAATAATTTCGCTTACCGCAAAAAAAATTGGCTAGCGCTCGCTCTCCTTTTCTTTCTCTTGCTCAGGCGGCTATTGTGAATGAAATTTAATGTTATTTTTCGCATTTCACATTTTTCACACATCAAATCACAAAAATCAAATCTTTTACGCGCAATTTATAACGAATATCATATATTTTTGCGTGTTCAAAGATCGAGGACTGGGACTGGGGACTGGAATGATTAAACTAGCACATATTTTACGACACGTATTTATCACATTTAACAGCGGTTAATTAAATATAATTTACACGCAAACGCATTTACAAAGTCACACACACAAACTGCGATCAATCAACACGGCAGACGCGCACAGACTAAATCGTCTTATTGAGCGCGCCTACGCTAAGCTGGCATTCGCACCAATACAACAACAACAAGCGGGAGCACACATATAATGCAGCAGCCGCGCTCACGACATACACACAGCACAGCACAGGCCGTCCGCATGGCCCGCTCTCTGCATTTATCCGCAGACTGCACTCTGAGCGTATATATAACAGGATCATAGGCGTCTGGACCAATGGCGTGTGCGCAGTGGCTGAATAGATTATCTTGCGCACTCTCGTTATCCACTCTCTGGATAAACGCTCTCAACAGGCGCGACGTTTCATGCAAATGCGCACTCATTAAGACTTATTAAGTGTATGCTTACACATATGTATGTACATATACTTATTTGTACCCTTGCTGAGGATACTTTTATTTCATCCTAATGTGTGTAACGCATAGAACTAAACAGCTCCGAGCCTACAGAGTACACATATTCTATATAATAATGATCAAGAATTTGTATATATGCTCCACAGATATTCGAATTTGTTTAAAAACAATTGTTTTGTAATTTTGAATCAATTTAAACGTTTTAAAGAAAACTTTTATATCAATTTTAAAGATTTCAACTAGGAAAATAAATAAATTTAAAATATGTACATTTCTGTTATCTTATTCGATTTTGAACAAATTGATGATTGTTGTCCATTTATTGCCAAGTTTCTAAATGCAAACCGCAATAAGAGTCTTATAAAATTGCTATAAAATTGTGTTGCAGCAGATAATAGAACGGAGGAAGAAGCCTGAATGCTTTATCAACTTATTCAATAAAAAAAAGGACACTTCGATTTTTCTGTGCGCTGCACTTGCTGGGGCTTAACAATTCAGACACCTCTTAGCATTATTTCCAGCCCGCTCCCCGCCCCACTTACCCACCAGCTCACTAGCCCGGCGAACTTCTCCTTTTTTTTGGGGGGTGGGAGCTCTTTTTGCATAAACGGCAGTACAGATTATGCAACTGTCTGGGATTGTCAAGCGTCGAGTCGACAACACGCTGCACACTTTGCATATCCTGCACAGGATACGGCCAAAAGAGTGGGGTGGAGATGGGATGGGTAAGGGCAGGGTGGGGGCGACTTACAAATGCTTTTTGCCTTTTGCATTCGCAGTCAAATGCACAACGTTCCGATAAAAAAGGGAGAAGCGGAAAGTTTCTGGACTATTGTGATGCCAAACGAAAAATCAAAGTGTCTCGCAATTGTGCCCAGGCACTTGGCGACGGGTGCATTGAAGCAGAAGGCAGGAGAGAACGGCAGATAGAGAGAGCGGGAGAGTGATAGCGGGTGAGTGAGAAAGCGAACGATACAGTCAATTTCAATGTCTGCCCGCCGTCGCCATTCCCAGTGTCCCGCTCACTCAGAACTCTGGCCACACTGGCGGGCACCACAGAGAATTCAGCGCTATGTTGACAGTTACCAGTTACAGCTACTCTCGACAGTGTTGCAGTGCTGCCAACTTGCGACTAATTTAATTAAAACTTTTTGGCCCCCAATAAAACAGTGAAGTCTATCAGTCGGCAGCCAGTCGAGCCCAGTCAGCTGAGACTCAAAACCGTCCCCGACCACATAATTGTTTTGTATAGCACTTTCCGAAAGTTGGCAACACAATTATGGATTTAGTAAATAAATTTGAATAAGTTACGGTTGGTTTTTGTTATTAGTTTTGAGCGAATTCAATTCGTAATTTAAGTGATCTAGTTTGAAAGGAACAGAGCGAACTAGTGAACTAGTTCGCGGTGCATGAACAAACCAGATTGAAGTGAACGCTTTGAATGAGTTAGCTGTGGGAACTTTAAATGAACTGTAAAAGCACAAAATAGGGAATAATATTATTATTATTGCAATTATGATGATTATTATTAATGTTATTGTTATTATTATTACTAGTTTATTATTATTATTGTAATTATGAGTTTTATTATTATTCAACCGAGTTAAGTTACACTGTCTACCATGAAGAAGAGGACATCCGTTCACTAGCCTGCGATTTAAACCAGCTACCTTCTCAATTACTAATTATACTACTAATATTCCTTAGATGTATGTTATATATTTAAGGATATCATATCATAGCGTAATGACTGCAATCAAAACAAACACCGTCACTTAGTTAGCTGATTTTTTCCCATTTCCGGAACATGAACGGAACACACGTAAAACTGTACGTGTCGTTGATTATCTGCCGTGTGCTTAGCAGCGGATTAGCCTGCCAAAAAAAAAGAAAAGAAAAGCAGAAGAAGAAGAAGCAAGTCGAGCCTTGGCAACAGAGCCACTCAACGTCGTGGCTGGCACGTGGCGACCTGTGACTTTGCAACAAGTGGATGTGGCATGTGTAAGGTAGGTGGAAGCCAAGTTAACGACAGCTGGCTAGAGGCTGAGAGCCAAGTCTGTCGCTGGGTGGATTTTAATTCAATGTGCATGTGTGTGCAAAGCTCGGCTGGATTAAATCAGTTAAGAATATTCCATTTAATTTACAAAAACGCCTGTCATTCAATTTAGCTGACATTATATATATATTAATAGTCAGCTTAGTCATATAAAAAGATATCAATTAAAATATTAATGCTGCTCAAAAAAATATAAAAATATTTAATGGTTTTCAAGCATTCTTAAGTGTTACACATTAAATGACAAATTCATGAGACTCTATATATGAGGCCATAAATATATTTATACATGAGTATCCATAACTGTGTTTAGCGTATTTGCATGAAACGCGCCTGCTGAGAGCGTTTATCCTGAGAGTCGATAATGTGAGCTCGCAAGATAATCTATTCGGCCACTGCGCACACGCCATTGGCTCAGACGCTTGTGATCCTGTTATATGCACGCTCAGAGTGCAGTCTGCGGCTTAATGCAGAGAGCGGGCCATGTGGACAGCCTCTGCTGTGCTGTGTGTATGTCGTGAGCGCGGCTGCTGGATTAAAAGTGTGCCCTCAGTTGTTGTTGTTGTATTGGTGCGAGTGCCGGCTTAGCCTAGGCGCGCGCTCAATACGATAATTTAGTCTGTGCGCGTCTGCCGTGTTGATCGATCGCATTTTGTGTGTGTGACTTTGTAAATGCGTTTGCGTGTAAATTATATTTAATTCCCCGGAGTTAGGTGATTAATACGTGTCGCGTGTGCTAGTTCATTGCATATACCAGTCCCCGATCCTTGCTCATGCAGAAATCTTAGATAATCGTTAAAAAACCCTTTTAATGTATGTTTTTGGCGTAACATTAAATGACATTCACAATAGTCGCCTGAGCAAGAGAGAGAAAAGGAGAGCGAGCGCAAGCCAACATTTTTTTGCGGTAAGCGAAATTCTTTTTATCTTTTTCAAAATAAAAGCTCGTTGGGCTTTTGTCAACTCAACTTTTTATCTGCCTAAGAAATACTTTTTAGGAAAAAGTTTCTTCTTTAATTCATTTGTCAAAACAGTTATACAAATTATTTAGACAAATTTTGTTGTTATACATACTATTAAGAACGTATAACAAATATGTTAGGAGCAAGCAACTGCATCCGCTTTACAGAATGCAATTTAATAAATTGTTTATGTTTAATATTATTTTAATACTCGCTTGGAATTGGAATTGCTGGCCAGTCAATATTTTGATTATTATTATTTATTAATATTTTGATTTGAGTATTTTGATATTTTATCTTGGAGTTTTGTATACTCGTGTATAACACTATAGCGCAACGCCTACTGCTGGGCGTGGCTATTATCAAATATTTATAGCTGCCGCCATATTGGAGCCAGACAGATTAAATTTCTCTAAAGATCTAAAAAGAGATAAGAAATATATTTAATAAACCGTTAACTATCGAAAAAAATGGTAAATGAATAAAATAATTTGCATTATTTTTTACACACTTTACATTTATTGATTGAAGTAGTCAAATAAGAAACTTATGCAATTGTTTAACGTAGTTAAATACCAGTTGAATACTTAGAGTCAAATCGGCGTTAGGAGGAGGGTTCTAGATGAGGAGGAGGAGGGGGAGGGGGTCGCAGCCTCAAATTGTGGGCAGATGATGCTCGGTGCGATGGAGCATGGCCGCATTCTTGTTCAGCGGCTGCAGCTTCACAAAGTCCTGATGCGGATGATGATGATGATGATGCTGATGCTGATTGCTCGGCAGCAGCGGCAAGGAGGTGTTTGAAGTCTGCTGGACAAAATGATTAGACAATTATGCCATAATTGAGGGGTGGGGGAGGGGGCTCACCTTTGATTTATCACGTGCCGCTGCAACGGCCGCCGCATGCGCCGCGCCCGTCTGCAGCTGCTGGGCGGCCGTGGCCAGCATGAATTGCTGCGAGGCCAACTGCTGCTGCCGCAACGTGGCCGCCTCCAGGCTGTTGATATGGTCCAGCTCGCGCTGTTTGGCTATGTAGTCGTCGAAGTAGGAGTGCTTGATCAGCTTGTCGCAGGACCAGCGCTTGGCCGGATCCTTGTCGAGGCATTTCTTCAGCACATCGATGGTGAGCGGATTCTGCAGCGCCTTCGCCGGCATCTTGTCCTCCAGCGGCTCCAGCGTCGGCGGCACCGGCAGCGTTATGCCCTTAAAGTACTCGTTCTGCCCGAAGATCTGTATGTGCCGCGGCAGCAAGTCGCCCAGCGTCTTTCGTATCAAATACAGCTGATCCACATCGCTGCGTCCGGGCCACAGCGCCTCGCCGCGCACCAGCTCCGCGAAGAGGCAGCCGATCGCCCACACGTCTACCGGCGTGCCGTATTGTGTGTCGCCTACGAGCAGCTCAGGCGCGCGGTACCAGCGTGTGGCCACATAGTCTGTGTAGTTCTCGCCCGGACTGAGCATGCGGGCGAAGCCAAAGTCGCACAGCTTCACCTGGCCCTGGGCCGTCAGCAATATGTTCTCGGGCTTGATGTCGCGATGCAGGCAGCCCTGCTTGTGGCAATATGCCACGCCCAATAGCGTCTGATAGCAGATCTGCTTGGTCAGCGGCTCCGGGCAGCCCTGCGGATGCCTTTCCAGTTCGTGCAGCACCGTCAGCTCGCAGAATTCAAAGACCAGATGCAGGCGACGCTTGCGACGAAACACTTCCAATAAGGACACCAGATTCGGGTGCTTAAGATTCTAAAAGAGATAGAAATTGGAATTAGTTAAGTTCGAGAGAGATTCGAATTTGTATTCCATAAGAAAGGAAGAAAGAACGGAACTTATAAATATTCTGGCAGATAGGAGGCTTTTGGTCTTGCAGATATGTTAGGAATCAAGTGAAGCTTGTAATTGCTGAGTTTGGGGCGAATATCCCGAAAAATTTTTTGGCGATTTTTTCTATGGAGTTGTATGATATAGTAGCCAAATAATGATAAGAAACGGAAAAAGGGTTTTAAGCTTGTAAGTTTTAAGCAGACAAGATTATCGACACACTCACTCGCACACACATACAGACACACACACATACAATGTTCAATAATGTCCTATGACCAGTTCTTTTTCAAACTTACAAGAGTCTTTCATAATACCCAAACTTTGCATCAGTGTAGTAGAAACATTAAAGAACTTTTCACGTCGTATATTCTGTTCGACAAAATCTATTTGTTTATTTATTATCCTGTCTGTATATATCTAGAATCTGGGTGCCAGGAAAAATCTAGCAATTGAAAATTTTATAGCCTGAATGCTTTTACATACCTCTGCATTTAACTTGATCTAATACCACTTTCCCCTATATCAAATGTGCATATTGCTAAGTACTTACATATATATTTTTTAATTATCTACTATTCTTTATTCCAATTTTAATCATATTCAAATGGTTTTAATACTAATAGTTCAACTTTAATAATAATATGCCTATCTAAAAGATTTCTGGTTCGAAAATATGGTTTACTTTTTCGACCGATCGTCCCTATGGCAGCTATATGATATAAAGGTCCGATCCACTCGGTTCGAACATATGTACTGCCTGCAATAGAAAGAAAGAAAGACCTATGCAATGTTTCAAGTCTATAGCTTAAAGACTGAAAGACTAGTTCAACTCAGCTGTTGATGCTGATCTAGAATTTATATAGAATACCCTCTACCCTTAAATGCGCTGATTTTCGGTACACTGAATGCCGCAGTTGAAAGCCTTGTCTTCTCTTCGTTGCTTATAATTCTCAAATGGTTATAGCTTAGAACCGAAGATAATGGCTTGCACATCTAGAGTCGCTAGCAAAGTTTACTTTGTAGACTCGGTACTGTCAGCTTTCAAGACAGAATGAAAATATCCTCCACAGTTTGTTAATAATTGTTTTAAAAAAAATAAGATAAATGCACAAAATAATATTTAAAGTTGTTGCACATAAATATTTATATTTTGTTTAGTATAAGTTCTTGTAACTACCTTCAGCAGCCTTATTTCTCGCAGTGCTATTTTGCGTATGGCTGGATCGTCCTCGGACTCAACAAATCTCTTGACCGCAACGAGAGCGCCTGTTTCTCGATCACGGCATTTGTAGACAACACCGTAGGAGCCCTCGCCCAGGCGACTCAGCTTCTCATAACGATCCATTTTGCTGCTACCTTGTGGTCTGAAAGTGTTGCAAAGAGATAATAAAAGTATATTTACATATATAATATATTAAATATATTTAATTGTAAATAGTATATTTAAATGAAGTATTTAATTAGATATTTAGTTAGGCATTTAGTTCTGGTTACTTTGGTTTACCTTAGACTCAAACATTGACCACGTTTGATGTTTGCACGACGCATTGCTTTGCATTGAGCACAAAGAATGTTTGTGATGTTATTTGTTTGACACGAACACATGAGAGAGAGAGAACACAGTCACATATGTGTACATGGAATCGGGGACTACATATGGCTATATGGCATATATATGTATATAAAAGTGAGCGGTGAGATCGTTTGATGTTCTTTGCACTTTATGTACAGATTTTGAGTATTAATTTTGTTGTTGCTGTCCAAAAAGTTGATGTTTCAATTACGATTCTGATTGCTTTTGTGTTTTTATGGATTTTGCAGTGAAAACGAATGAGATTAGAAAAGTATTCATGAGTTATTTAAATGACAGCAATGGTTTGTTAAGCAAATAAAGTTAATAATGTTTAATTGAAAGAAAAGTGCGTAGGAATTTTTAAACTATAAAAATAATTATAATTTATTAAATTCTGCGTGATTTGGACTTAAAATAATAACCTTATATATTTATATTAATATCTTTTTGTCCCATTTAAAAACTGGCTTTTCTTATGCCCCATATCTTTAGAGAAATAGTCGTATTTATAAATTTCTTTGCTTTGTGTGCTAAGCAAATAAAATGAATAATGTTTTTTACTAATAATATAAAAGTATTTCAAAGATTTAAACTTCTCAGTTTCGTGAACTTTAAAAATAACCTCTGATATCTGTGATATATTTATAAATATTTACATTTTCTTCAATCTTGTCGTATGAATTTTAGAAACTGAATGAATGTAGAAACTATTCCCAAATCTTTCTCTTTAGTTTAATTAATATTTCTGCTTGGGTCGCGAAGCAATTAAAATGATTATCGCTTCATATTTAATTTTTAAAAATATAAAATTATTTAAAAGGTTTTATCAACTCAGTACCTTGGATTTTTAAGAATAATATCTATTTTTTGCGCCTTGTTGACGTTTTAGAACTGCTTCTTCTTATACCCTATATATATCTCTTAAGCTTAAATGCTCAAAGAACTGTCTCATTAATTTATTAATGCTGATCAACCTTCTATTAGGGTGTCAGGACATTTCATAATAAAATCGGTAGATCGCCGGCTCAAATTTAGCAGCAATTTCTAATTTGTAAAAATGTTTATTTATTTTAACTTACAAAAAAAAATAATAAAAATAATTATTAACATGATAAATTATAATAAAAATATATTAAAAGTAATTATAAACCTTAACTAAACCAATAAAATTAAAAAATAATAAAAAATATGATAAGCATAAAAAAATATAATATAATAAATGATAAAAATAATAACAAATTTAATAATAAAAATATTAAAAAAAAATAATAATAAACTAATAAAAAATAAAATAAAAATAATTATAAACATCAAATTAATAATAAAACTAAAACAATAGAATAAATAGAAATGATTAAAAAATTTATAAACACAAAAATACCAATAATAGTAAAAATAGTAATGAAAATGTATTAAGAATACAATTTTAAGCAAACTTAACATTAATTTAGTAATAGTAATTAAAGTCGTTTTCCAGTTTATATGCGCTAGTTAATTATAATTAGACACTGATATGGGGCTATAATTACGCCTGACTGAAATCAATACTAATAATATGCTTTAATGCTAGTTAAGTGACACCCAACTAATAATTTCTCACTCGAACAACAAAAATGGAGCTAAAATCGATTTCCCAGCTACAATTCAAATGCGTGTCCTTTTCCGTCAAAATGGCGTTTTATGCATGAAACTCGAGGATTTTAGCTGATGTGTTCTTCATAATATTGCCTGATAAGCTAAAAAGCCAACATTTGCTGGCGTTTCAATGTCAGGCCAAGGCGAGGTAACTGAACCTTGCTGCGGCAGGGGGGCGGGGGAGACTCGAACCATTAAACATGTGTGCAGCTCGTAAACATAGAAAAATGCAATTAAATGAAATATTCATGTGCCGGGTCCAAGGTCCAAGCGCAAAATGGAATTGAACGTAACAAACAAAAGTGAAGCCAGTAAAAAGCAGATTGAACAGACAGAAAATTAACACTTAGCAGCTGTCCAACTAAGCACTTACCTAGTCGGTATCCATCTGGCTATAAGTTTACGTATTTGCCACTAGTTTTTGGTTGTGATAGTTTTAGGATGGGAATATTTAATGAAATTTGTACATGCAATGCGAAAAGGATTGTGTGAAATGCACAGTTATTTGGATTAAAATCTTGCAGAGATGCAACTCTCTCTAATAATACACACCATGCGCTAAATAGTCGGTCTTTTTTTTTTCTTATCGTCTACCGATCAATATGATTTTGACGTTTGCTCTAAGGTCGTCAGACGCGTGCGAAACGGTTCGAAAGCCGTTTTGTTTGACTGACAACCAGCGACTGATTGCCCGGACTTTTGGGGCCCCGCGCAGCCAATGTCATAGCAATGCGACCAAAGTTAACAAAGCTGAAAAAAACCACAACAAAAGCAAAAACCATGCGCACTGCTCCAAAGTTTTTCCAAGAAGTTTCATGCTTTCCTCATGTTGTGGCTACCCCTGAGCCCCAGTCCAGGCCCCTGGCACCCGCTTGTTGTGTTTGCTTTCGTCGACCGACGATTGCCGGAAAGCATTTGAGGCTGGGTAGTTTTTCTTTTTACTCTTGCCTTTTGAGGTTACCTGGTAGTTTCTGGCTAAACGGGAACTGTGGGCGTCGTCCCTAGAGAATTTCTTGGGTCAGTCAGCGAAAAAAAAAACAGAACTAGGGGAAGACAGTTAAAACTGGTGCAGCAGTGCAATCGACTTGAGACTGAGCGGGGTTTGGGTGGGTTACCCAAGGAATTATGAGTTATTAATGTCTGTCATTTGGGAGTGCAATTAAGGCATAGTTTGCCAAGATATTACAGCTAGGAAATAAGTCTTACGAAGTGTGCTTCACAAGTTTGTCTGCTCGTGCCTAAATGATAGTTAAATATTTAATGAATACAATTACACTTAATAAGAGGTACTCGAATATCTACATATTTGATAGCCGGAAGTAATGTTTAACTGGCACAGTTAGACATAATCTGTTATCGATAACATTTAGCCGATTCGATTGCAAATTTATGCCCTAATTAAAACAAACTATAATTAAAGGATCATTCTATACATTTTCTGTTAAGTTATGAATAGCTTTGATAGTTTCAATTCGAAATAATATTTTTCTTCGAAGAAATTAAAAAAAAATACAAAAATTTAAAATTGTAAATAATAATTTTTTATTAAAGTAACATAATATAGAATATAATTACTGCGGGCTTAATTTATTTAATGAAATAAAACTATAATCAGGCAAGTTTTTTTTAAATTATTTCTCTAAAATAACTTATTTTAATTTCAACTGAAGTTTGAATAATTTATTTTAAGTTATTTCCAACAAAACAAAAGCTTTCACAAAACAGTTTTTATTTTAAAAAAAATATTAATTTAAATATGAAATATTTTAAAAAGATAAGAATCTAAAAAGAATAATATGTCTTTTTTGACACTGTAAGTGTCAACGTATTTATATATATATATTTAGTAGTATTTATATATATAACTAGAAATATTGGTAGCTGCAATTTAATAATATATATTATATATTTTAATAAATATTAATATAGGTAACTGTAGATTGAGACTATCATACTATTTAATATTAATTATGATTGACCAGTATATATTATTGGTAGCTGTAGATTTAATTTAGACCTATCAGGCATTTGCTCATTACACAGCTAGTTTTTGTTTTTACTTTAATTTTTAATTTTTAAAATAATTATTAAGCCATTTAATAAATAAATAAATAAGTAAATACGTAAATAAAAAGATATTTTATATCAGTTACAGCTTATGTGAACTATTGTTCACTTAATACTTTGTTTATATTAGGCTGCAATTATTCTTATTTGCATGCCAACGACTGAGTCTCTCTCTCTCAGCACCTTATAAAAGTAAACAGTTAAACATTTTACAACATGGCCCAACATAGGTTAAAGTTTATTTTTAAAAATACCAAAATGATGGATTTTGTGCTTAAAACTCCCCATAAACTGAATGCTGGAATGTTCTAGTTACATATTTTATACCTTGAACTCAGGCTTACCTTCGCAGCGAAAACAGCTTCGATATCTCAAACATTTTCATGGTGAATGTCGTAATATATATTATTATTTTTTATTGCTTCATCACCTTCGAAACTTCAGTAATAACAACAAAGACAGCGACAATGACAACGACAACGAAAACGACATAAGCGTCGCCCGACGAGGACGACGACAACAAATAAAATGGAGCACGAGACGATGTCGAAACGTCAAGAGCCGGCAAACGACTGAAGTTTTGTGCTGGCCAGAACTTGAGCAGTGGCTAACAAAGTGGCCAACACGCCAACCATGGCCCAACACCGGGCCAAAAAGTCGATTGCATTTGCGGACATTGCACATACGCCGCATTGGACATTGGCGCTTCCGCCTTTGTTTCGTCTTGCTTTGTTGCGTGTTGCATTAAACATACATTAAATATACTCAAAAATGCATTGAAATCCGGTGTAACTAGAGTTTCAGAAATGAATTACTAAACATTGTCACGCATACGCTGTGTTGTACCACAGCAAAAGAACGAAAGAGGGAGAGGGAGAGAGAGAGAGAGAGACATACTTAGAACAATGAAAATTCTGTCGTAACACCTTTTTATACCCTGAACCCAATAAAAATGGACAGTAAGGGTATACTTGTTTCGTGCAACTGTGTGTAATAGGCAGAAGGGGACATCTATATATATCTATATAGTGTATATATTTTTGAACGTCGAGCTGAGCCTATCCAGCCTTGACCCTCTGTTT